CCTCTTGAGCTTACAACCCCCACTCCCTGCCCCTCCATGGGGTTTTCCTAGCTGGTCTTCCCCATGCAGGTTCTGAAGGGGCAATGCCCTGCTTCATCCCAGGGAAACGGGCTGCAGAGGCCATGAACAGTGCTCTCTTGGCTCAGCCGGCTCCGTGGGGGTTGAGGTCACTGGGCTTTTCCTGTCCCTGTCGTGTGGGAAGTGATTGTTGGCGGTGTCACCAATGCACCAACACCGCTGGCCTTTGTGTTCCCCGGGCTTGTCCCCCCAGCTGCCTGCTTCTGGCGTCGGGGAGGGCTCCAAACGCCTATAAACTGCCTGCCACCGGAGACGTGATAACGGGATGGGGATGGTGTCATTACCAGGCTGGGTCTGTGGGCATTGAGGGAAAAGGAAGGAAAGCGGCGTCTCTTCAGGGCGAATGGCTAGGCTGGAGCAGGCTGGGAAGTGTCATGACGTCTCACACTACAACAAACTGGTGAGAGCAGGTCAGCGTGCATCAGCCACCCTACAACAGCAGCCAGAGTGTGCTGATCAGTGCTCATGAGTGACTCAACAACAACAAACCACTGTGTGGCTGTGCTCACGCGTGACCTTACAATAACAAACCAATTCTGGGAGCGGTTGGGATCAGGAGTTTGGCAAGGTGACCTGGCAGGGATGGTGTGGGATCTGGAGGTGAGCAGCTGGCCCCAGTGGGCAGGGGCTGAGATCCCAAGGCTGGGGGTAGACGGCTCCGATCCGTAAACCCCACACAGGCTGTGCTATGCACGGTGAACCAGGAGATCATGTTCTCGCTAGTCCCTCCCTATTGCTCCACCCGGGGAGACAACACCCTCCATGTAGGCTCTGTCTCAGCAGCCTGGGATAAACAACAGAAGGGTGGGACAGCTTTCCATGAACCCTAGACCAGTCTCAGCCACTCCTGCTGTTCACCCTGTTCCCTGAGCTGTAAGCACAAGGGCACATAAACATGGCCAGCTGCTGTTTGAATAAGGCAGCACGTCTGGCCTGTGCAGCCAGATCCCCGTCTCGTGAGCAGCTTGAGAGATAAGGCGAGGAGTGAGGCTGGTGCTTTAAAGCTGTGTCCCCTTTAGCTGTGATGAGTTTAGGGGGGGGGGAGGTCTCAGCTGGATTCCCACTTCCCCAAAACCACCAGTACCCTCAGCACTAACTGCCCTCCCTCGCTGGCCACCTCTTGGATGGCGCACGGAGGCGGAGCTCCCCTCTTCTCGTGGAAGGGCAGAGACGAGCGATACCGGGAAGGCAGCAGCCCTGTGGAGTAATCGAACACGGGGAATCCAGCACCTTCTAACTGGAGCACAAACAATTCCCATGTTTCGAAAGAAAAAGAAAAAGAAAGAAAGGGGGCTCTTTGTTATTTCCTACAGAGGTTGCACTGAATTAACTGAATTCAGTGTAAAAACCAATGCAGTTAGATGGATGCATATTTGTGCCTGACCATTTCACTCCATTTCAACTCCGTTCTCTCCGTTTTGTAGATTCTCTTGCTTTCTCTGTCTCTGGGGAGAGAATGAGAGAACAAATGACACATGGGAGATGTGAAGTCACGTGGCGTAATGCACGCCTGGAAGGAGCTCAGAGACTCTGGCGATGAGCATAGACCAAAAGCCTACATAGTAATGTAGCGTAGTACAATTTAGATTCACAGACTATCAAACCCGGGGGGGGGGGGGCACCTGTAATCATCTAGCCTGCCCTGTATTAACACAGGCCTTTCCTGAATTAATTACTTTTTGAACTAGAGCATAGCTTTCGCTTGCATCTGTAAATGTATCCAGGAGAGCTAAACCGCAACAAACCAGACTGAAACTGATTCAAGACATCTGTGCACAAGGCTGCATCGGTTTCACTTCAAGGGGTTTAGAATCACACCTACAGGCCTGGTCTATACACACAAGTGTGTAGCTAGCTCAGTAGAAGGAGAGTGGTATTGTCCTCCACGGTGGTGTTCTAGTATAAACATGCTTCTAACAGCAGAGCTATGGGGGAAGAGGAATAAGCTATACTGGTATGTTATAGGACACCTTTATACCAGCAATAGTGTTCACACCAGGGGTTGTACGGGTGTAACGGTCAGTGAAAATCACACCGCTACCCGATATAGTTATACTGGGACAAAAATCTGTGCGCCAACTCCACCAGGCCTTAGTTAAACTGCTACAACTTTGTGTTTCGCATTAGACCAGACCTAAATCCAATTAACTGCAAGCTACCCTGCTTTCCTACTCCTATCGCTGCTTGTTTGTGCATCTCCAGGTGAGGCCAAATCACCCACCAAATAGCCACAGGTCACTGCAGACACTCACCCCGTGACTGTGCCAGGCACAGAGATTCTACAGCTGCCCATTCTCCCTGGAAGCCATCCCAGCCCCCCTTCTCCCGCCACGGCAGGCCAAAGGAAAATTCCACGCTGCTGAAAATCCCAGCTTGGTGCTTTGCCCCACACCTGCCCCTTCCAGCTGCCGCCTGACGAGCCCTCAAGCCCTTTGCATGGAAAACATTTGAGACTCTTTGCCTTTGACGTGGAGCAACACGAGCAGGGACTGCATTGGATTTAGGGACAGGGCACTGGAAAAAGGCATGAACCAAACAGGACTTCACAGAGGAGCAGTGACAACATCTTACACCTGTGTCAACAAGGGGATGAGAGATAGTCGGGAGAGAGCCAGGATGCCTGGGCTCTATGCCCAGCTTTGCCACTGCTTTGCTCTGTGACCATGGGCAAATCGCGGACCTGCTCCGTGCCCCAGTTTCCCCAGCTACAAAACAGAGAGGATGACACTGACCTGACCTGGAGGTGTAATGGGCCTCATTCTTTTCTCACCTATGCTGGGGTAAAATTGGCAGAACTCCATTGACATCAGTGGGGTCACACGGGTGTGACACACACGTGATGCCAGCCTTCTGTCTGTAAAAGCTTTGAGAGCCTCAGACAAAAGGCGCTACCAAAAGGCAAGATAAATATTACCCAAAGCACAGTGCAAGGTTCACCCTGTCCAGGCCTCGTTTTCCATTGCCCTGCACCTTGGGCAGCTGCCGACCCCAGTGCACAGAGGTAACTTAGGTGCCTAAATCCCACTGGCTTTCCCCATGCAATGCTCTTTCTTGTATAGGAATAAACTACACTGCTCTAAGGCCCTATCTTACTGCTAGAAAGCCTGGCACACCGGGGGTTATACCGATTTAACTAGCCTGGGAGAGCCGCAGGGGTACAGCAAGGCCTGAGAGAGAGAGAGAGAGAGCGCGCGCGCCAAACCAGGGAAGCAAAAGAAATTAAGGTAGAGAAAAAGGAAGAGAGAAAACGAAAGAGGAGAGAGAGGATGAAACGGGTAAAATTCCCAGCTGGTAAATGGGCCCAGATCCTGTGCTGATGTAGATCAGTGACTGGTGCTAACCCCAGCTGAGGTTCTGGGGCAAAGGCAGGGAACCCTGCAATCTTTCTGTGCCCCATGGAAATCTCGCCTCATCCTATTTGCGTCCACGCCCGTCCCAGCAGGTTTTCCTCTGCGGAATAAGTCCCGGAAAATGGGCTGGTCCCCTCTTCTTCTTGGAAGTGGCTAAATATAGAAGTTCTTGGAGAGCAGCTGGAAAACAGGGCTGTGAGGACATTCCAGCGGGTGCTGCAGGAGAAAGGCATTCGCAGCTCTGTACAGTAAACAGCTCCCGTTTCCCACCCACCTGCCACCTCTGGCCAGAGCCGGTTCCTGGCTTGCCAGAGCCCGCGCACACACGACAGCTGCAGCCAGACAATCCAGCCGTTGGCAGTCCATCAAGCGCAGGCCTGGCTGCAGGGACTTGTTCTCAGAGAGGGAGACAAACAACCTGGGATGAATTTCACACGCACGCTTGGTCCCACCGCCGAGCCTTGGGGCTAGGAGCCAGACACAGGAGGGCCGGGGTGGGTGTCAATCGCCCCGCGCTTCGCAGTCTTTCCAGCTCGAGCAGACGTAGCCGCACGGAGCTGGAATCCAGCTAGCACGGTAACCCACAGCAGCGTAGCCGCCGTGAGCCCCTCGGTACGTAGTCAGGCTGCCGCGGCCACGCTCAGCTAGCACTGGAAATTACATCCCCCCTCTGACCGCAGACATCCCCTAGCGACAAAGATGCGCTCTCAACGCCAGTTACAGCCCGAGGGAAGACAAGGCAGTTTGGAGCTGTCCCTCCAGTTAGCAGGTCGAGTTAAAGACTACACGGGAACGTAGGTTTTCCCTCGTCCCGCCAACCGCGTGACAACAGCAAACTGCCTCGTCTTCCCGAGCATTCTACCACAAGTTAGGAACACACAGTTATTCCTAAACCCGGTCTACACTTACAAGTTTTGCCTGCATAGATCGGCTGGTTAGTGTGAAAAATACACACACACACACACCCCAGACCAAAGTAGGTGTGCTGGGCAAAGCCCCAGTGTAAATGCAGCTGCTTTCGATCCAGGAGTTGGTACGAGCAATACCTGCAAGAGCCGAAGCTAGGCCTCTGCTACCAGGAACGCTCCACTGTCAAACCCTTGCGAATGGGCTTGCGGAAGAAGCAGACGTTGATGGAGACAATCCCCGTTCTGAAGCGCTCACAGTCTAGGGCCTGGACTACACACAAAACTGTCCCACTTTAGCTATCCTGGGATAGTTAAAAGGGGCACAACCACCCGTGGTGCCTTACACCACTATAGCTTCTCCCCTTTTCGGGATGGTATGAGCACCTTTATCCTGGTGTAATTACACCCACACTGAGGGGGACTGGGCTGCTTTCACTACCCCGTTAAACTAGACTCGTTAAAGCAGCACACCTCTTGTGTGGAGACACGCCCATAAAGACAGACAGACTGAAGGTGCAAGGGGAAACCGAGGCACAGAGCGAGAGCAGTTGCCCAAGGTCCGCAGCACGAGCCAGGAATAGGATTAGGCATCATTCAAATCCCACTCAGTAGAGGTTGGGGGAAGATCCCACCAGCTCGGACTGCAAAGAACGAGACGGGCTAGGAACAGACAAATCCTTTTATTCCAACAGATGTGTTTAAAAAGAGAATGTTAAAAAGCTGCAACAAGTCAACCAAACTGATGCCACCTACAACACAGGCTGTTTCTTTACAAACACCTGGCAGAGCCTGTACCATAAAAGCTTTTTTCCAACTGGTGCGTTTCGTTTTGTTGTGGCCGTAGGTGGGTTTTGCTTTTGCAACTATCGACACCTAACAGTCTCTCTCTCTCTCTCTCTCACACACACACACACACACACACACAGAGTCTCTGACACAGACAGCTCTGCTCAGAACACAAAGGAGCAGCCCTGCTTTCAAATTTCTCAATGACAGATTCATAGAGAGGAATCCAAATGATTTCCTCCGACCTCTAGCTGCTCTGCTGTTCCGGGGCCCGATCTGAAGCCCAGTGGAATCAGTGGTAACCTTTCAATTGACTTCAAAGGGCTTCAGATCAGACTTGGCAAGAGTTTAGTCTCTTGGGGGACTCTGTTTTCTTCAAGATTTAGATTGTGATTTCACACTGGACTGACACCTGATCTCACACCAGACTGACACCTACATGACTTTTCACTGACTCCTGATTTACACCGGAATAAGTAAGCTCAGAATCAGGCCCTGTTATTTCTCCTATCTGTAACGCACAGTGCCTATGAGCCCTGGAGTCATGGACCAGGACCCCATGGTGCCAGGTGCTGGACAAACACAGAACAAAGAGATAGGCCCTGCCCCAAAGAGCTTCCAATCTAGGTACATTCATTTTATGTCATTTCCATTCCAAACCCATCCCTTTCCCTCAAATTAACCCTGCGGTTCAAATTCTGTTCACTTCAACTCAATGGACTTGCATTGATGGCTCCGAAAGGAGAATCTGGATCTCAGGGCTCTGGAAATAATAAAACATAAAGCGCCTCCCGCTGCCTGATCCTAGCTCCCAAGCTCCCAGTAAAACCAGTTTCTCTGGCCCAGTTGCAGGAGTACTGCAGGTGAGGTGGGGAGCAGCTCATATGCCCCCTGGTGAGGGCTTCAGTGTTGGAGGCATTGACCGTATGCTGCAGGCTCCTTCAGGAATGACCAGCCTAAAGCCACCGGCCCACCCTGTGGAATCAGATGCACCAGGGAGTGTCATCCGTGAGGGCACTGAAGGGAACGAGGGTGAACAATGGCTGGCCTGCCGGGATTCGGTCTAAACCTGGAATGGCCGCACACCATACACACCCGCGCACATCCCCCATGCAGACACACACCAGAGACATGCACACACCATACACATCCCCCATGCAGACACACACCAGAGACAAGCACACACCATACACACCCACACACATCCCCCATGCACACACACACCAGAGACACGCACACACCAGAGACACCCGCGCACATCCCCCATGCACGCACACACCAGAGACACCCACGCACATCCCCCATGCACGCACACACCAGAGACACGCACACACCATACACACATCCCCCATGCACGCACACACCAGAGACACCCGCGCACATCCCCCATGCACACACATACCAGAGACACACACACACACCATACACACCGACACACATCCCCCATGCACGCACACACCATACACACACCCGTGCCATACACACACCAGACATGCACACCCATGCATATCCCTGTACACACACGCACCAGACACGCACATCCCCTGTGCCACATACGCACCAGACATGCTCACCCCATACACACCCTATACACATCCACACACGCTCACCCCATACACATCCACACACCCCAATACACATCCCCGTGCACGCACACACACACCAGAGACATGCACAGCACAACACAACATGCAGAAATGCAAAAACATACACCATGTACAAACCCATACAAGCACATACAACATGTACACACAGCATACACCAACACAACAAAGAAACACCCACAGGCAAACCCATGGAGCACACCCTACGCAGACACACACAACACAGCTTCTGCCCCCAACAAACACCCACCCTTACAAACAGGCAAAAGCACCACATGCAGAAACGCACTTGCAGCACACAACCAATACCTGCATACACAACAAAACACAACACACGTGTAAACACCCCGGGATACATACACACACACACTTCTGCGTGCAGAATCTTTCTTTAAAACTCATCCAAATACATTTTGGGGGCACTCACCAGTTTCTTTCAATAGGGGGTCAAACCAGGGAGTCACCCCTCCCCCAGACACCCACCCCTGCAGCCTGGCTCAGTTCCGGAAAGGGGGGGCTGCAGGGCATGGGGGTTATAAGCTAGGCAGGATGTGGCGGGGGAGAGTACATTACAACCATCAACCACTGAGCAGCATAAAATCATTGTGGGGGAGGGAGACACTCCCTCATTTATTAACCCACCCGCCCTAAAATATTTTAAAGTGACAGTAAAAACACCCTCATTTATTAAAACTTTGCAGACTGGTGAGATCCGAGTCACTGCCAGGCTGATGTGAAACAGGATGGATCCCATTCTGAGACAAGCCTCAGGAGCATGTCAGGGCACCAGCCACACAGGAAACCTGCATAGGGCACCTCCAAGATTGGGGGGATCCCTCAAAGTCAGCTGGTGACTCCTTGGGGCAAGGGGAGGCAGGGAAGCGGGTGGCTGCCTGGGGTCTGAAATGGGATTAAAATCCTCTGTGACCCCCGCCCCCCCCAAGGACATGATTCTTCGTGGCCCTACATCTGGTGCGGTTGTTTTCCCCCGTGCAAAACGGTGCAACCTCCTGCTTCGCATCCCACCAGGCCGTTCACATTGGTGCAAAGCGGCTGGCTGCACGAGGGGTCAGGCCCTGGAGAATCAGGCCCAGGACCGGGAAGGGGCATGGGACTGGAGAACAGCTCCATTCATGTTCCCCCTTGTAGCTCTAAGAGCCTGCTGGTGCAATGGGGTTTCCCATTAAAACCATTGACTAACCCGGAAATTGACACACACTCCTACTCTGTGTTCCCAGATTGAACAGCTGGACCAGAGTTCAGCTCCAGATCGCAGGGGGAGGCAGGTGGGAGCGAAGCGGACCAGATGCAGGGGGGCGGAAGGGAGCCGCTCACCACTCCCTGCTGTGTTTCAATGCTGGTTTCACCTCCTCCTTTGGGGCAGATCCCAGGAGGGTGTGTTCTGGTCAGTTTCTCCCACAGCTGAGCTAGGCAGGACTGCCTGGGGGAGGTGGGCGATGGGTGTCCGAAGGCAGAGGATGTCTGTCACTCGGACAGGCTGGTTATGTCAGCTTTAGTTCAGTTCTCTCTCCATCCTGGCAGAATTTTCCATCCACCTCCAAGAAGCAGCTGCTGGGAAAGTGGATCAAGAGCACCACCTAGGGGTGAAGCGAGAGATCTTCCTCTGGAGGGTTCCAAGGTGGGGACCCATCCGTGCCCCCAGCTGGCCCACTCGGAGAGGGGTGGCAACCAGGCAGGAAGCAAAGGGCCAGGCCTCAGCGGCTGATCTGAATCTAAGCCTCCCACTGTGGTGACAGAAACGGTGGCCGAGCTGGAGGAAGGATGGGGGTGTCCCCAGAGAGCCCAGACACGGCCCCCGCTTCCCTGAGGGATCGGCCGTCACCAACGTGGCACGCCCGTCCCTGCTGCGAGCAGATGGCTGGGATCCGGGGCCCCAGGCGTCCGAGCACCGTCTGCGCCAGTCTGGTATCCGAGCAACCCGGCTTCCCTCAGTATATCGCCTCGTCCATGTTGTCATCACTGTCGGCCCCAAACTCCTCCCCGTTGTCGAAGTAGGACATGATGTAATCTGTCTCCTAGGGAACCAGCCGGGAGAAGGAGGCTAAGTTCTGGGGAGGGCAAAGGTCGACGGCCCCAGCTGGTCAACTGCCCTGCCGGGCCCAAGGGCTGACGCACTGGGTCACTGTGCCCAGCATTGCTGCAGTTTGGGACAGGAAGTGGAAGGGATGGGCACGTCCCATGGAAGCCACGAGGGTGGGGAGCCAGGATGGAATTAGCTGGTCTGGCTGAGACGCTGCAGTGCAATGCTCGGGAACAGAACCCGAGACTGGTGCATCCACAGAACAGGCCCTGGCTTCCCCATGCTGCCCCTGTGCCTCACCCTGCCCTGGAGGGACCCACACTAGGGGCCAAGAAGCAGCTCGTTCTGCCGAGACTGGGGCCAACCAGGACGGTGACATTTGCAACATGGACACTCGCCCACTGGGAACTGGGATCAGACCTGCCCAACTCCACCCACCAGCCAGCTGCTTCCCACGGGAATAAAAGGCCCTGATCCTGCAGTGCCTTGCACAGCCAAAGCTCCCACTGAGATCAGCGCGTGCGGGATGGGCGAGAAACAACAGGTCTGCAGAGAGCGCGGCTGGCTGGCCTCTCCGGAGGCACCTTACCTCTTCATGTTCCTCCTCGTCATACTCCTCTTCCTCCTCCTCCTTGCCCTCTTCCTCCTCCTCTTTCTCCCCTTCTTCCTCTGACGTCACTTCCTCCTCCTTCTTCTCAAGGGTCTGGGGTTTAATAAGAAAGAAAAGCCCAGAGGACGATCAAGCAGCGGCGATGCTCCTGTGCAGTTCCCTGCGTCAAGCCAGGCTGTTGGAGAGAAACACCACCCCGGCATCCCACTGGCTCCATCCCACCCTGCGGAGCCATCAGCGAGAGTCTGACACTTCCCACTTCAACTCCCCGGCAACCCACGCTGTAATGCAGCCACTTCTGGCCAGATACCCACAGCACAGCCAGGCACGCACAGCCACCTGCAAGGTATATCCTGGGGTATCGCATACCCCAGCGAGTAATGGCATGCATATCCCCAAAGCAGCACACTTTGCGTAGCTGCCCCACATGGCTACCTGAATGAGTGGGCCACAGAATGGGGGTGGGGAGGCGGACGGGACCAGAGGGGAGGTTCAGCAATCCGGGATAGAAATAATACCCTTTTGACATGCCATGGAGCCGAAGGATTCCCCACCCAGGAAATCAGAGGGAAACCATCGTTACCTCCAGTTTCTTAATAGCTTCCTCCTTGTCCACCGGGAGCCGCTGTTTGTGCTTGGGGATCAGAATGGTGGTTCCTATCCCAGAGGAAAAGAGAAGATCAGAACACAGCCAGAAAATGGGGCATTCCTGGGGGACTCCATGCGATGGGCAGTGGGAGAGCTGGTTTCATTTCCTTCATGCATCACGGTCCAGCTGCAGTCGACTGACATGCTCCAAGCCCTGCCACACGTCATCAGGCGAAGCTCGTGTTGCTGGGATAAGGGCTTGGCCTGATGCTGACACACACACCTCGTTAATTATTGGGCTGCATTTCTGGGTTACATGATAGGTAACCCTGCTGGGTTTTGGCAGGAGGTAGGGCTATTCTGCTGACTCAGGCTAGAAACCAGACCAGGTGGGGCTCATTGCCTCCAATCCTGGGCATGAGAGGACCAGAAGGGAGTAGGAGGAAGCCAGATACGAGCTCTTGTGGGAACAGCAAGCATAGGCTAAGGATTATGTTTCTTTTCTTCTGTTAGGAATAAAAATGCAGCCCCTATCAAATCTATGTAGCCTAGTAAATAAGGCACTGGCCAGGCACTCAGGAGCTGTGGTTCTAATCCCTGCTCTAGTGGGTGACCCTGCATTAATCATTGTTTTCTTTAATACTCACTCTCCTTCCGGAGCTTTCGAACTCGGATCTTTAGCTCCCGCGGTAAGCGCCGCCAATCTGCAAAGACAAATAAGGAAATCACCAGACTGAGTCAGACTCCTGGTTCGTCTACTCCAATAGCCCATCTCTGAGAGTGGCCAGAACCAGCTATTTCAGAAGGTGCAATAAACCCTTGAGTGGACAATGAGGAATAAACAGAAGTTTCTTCCTGACCCCCTACTAGTTAGTGATTGGTTTGTGCCCTGAAGCATGAGGGTTTATAATCTATGTATCTCTGCATCCCCACCTGCACTCATCTATCCATTCCCATATACATTTATCTATCTACCTATCATCATTTGTTCTTATTTATCCATCATCTAATGTAACTGTGGATGTTCTTATCCACATGTCTAAACTTCTTTTAAATCCTCTATGCTTTTTACTCTGGCAATATCCTGTGGCACAAGAGTTCCACAGACTATGTAAAAAAAATTCTTTCACCACTTCTCTATGTGTTGCCTTTCAGTTTCACCGGATCTCCTGTCCTACCATATTGTTGGGTCTCCAGTATTATTATAAAGGTAATAGCTAGCCGTGTCTTTTGCGATTCTCCACAGCTGTGAATCAGTCTTCCTAGAATAAAACTCTGAAGAGAAAGGTGAGCAAGGGTTAGACTGTAAAATATTCCCATGCATACCTGGGTTCCAATCAATAGCATTATCAATGGGGCCGGACATCTGATATTTATCTGAGTAGCGCTCAACATCTGAAAAGAAACATACAAACAGGGGTCAAAACTGCAGTTTTATAATCAGCATATAAATGGGCTTGAATTCTCAATCAAACTCAGATCTTGTCTACACATTTAACTAGCCCGGTGCAGTAAAGCCATACAACCTCTGTAGTGTGGACGCAGTCATACGGGTATAAAAATGCTTAGACTAGTACAGCTATACCAGAATAAGATAGCCCAGTAGAAGGCACCTTTACATCGATAAAACTGTGTCTGCACTAGGAGTTGAACTGGTATAACAATATTGGTAAATAAATCTCACCACTGACCATCATAATTATACCAATACAATTTTTAAGCACAGACCACGTTAAAGCCCCTTTATACCAGTCTGGCAGTGCAAAGGGGCCTTAAAATGGGTATAACGTATATTTAAGGCTGCTTTATGCTTGCTGACTGGTATAATAATAATAAAAAATCCTCTCTCTTATCATCAGTAAGTCCATTTTACAGATGGGGAAACTGAAGCATGAGGCGGGAAAGTGAGTTGCCCAAGGTAACCCAGCAGGTCAGTGGCAAAGCCAGGAATAGAACTCAGGTCTCGTTTGTCCTAGCGATGTGCACCAGCCACTAGGTCCCACTGCCTCATGTGGGAAAGGACTTTAGTAACACCGAGAATTCAGGCCCAGCGTTTTCATTTGCATTAAGTTGTCTAAAGTCCTATTTTTTTTTTTTTGGGTGGGAGGGGAAGGGGGTAGGAATACAGTTAAAATGTTGGTCCTAAATCAACTGGAGCAGCCCCCAGTACCTTTCTTGGGGGCGGCCGGCTTGACATAATATGGCAGATTCTTCATGGCTCCCCTCAGCTCTTGCTTTAGTGCCAGCATGTATTCCACCTCCTCACCCGTCTGCAGAGGGACTGGCTTGTACTCCATGGGCTACAGAGACAGGATGGGAGAAAAGCAAGTATCAACTTCAAACCTGGGGCTGCCAAGCTGATGATATGTATGCAGGGGTACAGCATCATGAGAGAGAAGGGGGCTCAGCTGTGAAATCGACCTGGATTTCAAACCCCCTAAAGTTAGGGAAGGGAATTAGGATCCGGGGCTTTGGTTTGAGCCCAGCTCTGCCGTATAAACACACTGGTGTGTATGTACCTTTGTGTGTGCGTATGTACATATGTACAAGTGTACATATGTGTATAGAGATGTATGCATGGGTGTGTTTATGAACATACATATGCATGGGTAACTATATACGTACACGTGTGTACACACAAGCATGGGTGTGAATATGTACATACGTATGAATGGGTGTGTACATACACATGCATTGGTGTGTGTGTGTCTGTATGTGAGTGTAGGCACAGATGCGTGTGTGTTTGTGTACATAGATGTGAGGGGGATGGGGCTATGGAGACTTTATAAAGTGCATTATGGAGTCCTCTACAGCAGTGGTTCTCAGCCAGGAGTCCGGGGAGCCGCAAGCAGGTTTCAGGGGCCCAGCCAAGCATGGCTGGCATTAGACTGGTTGGGGCCAAAGGCAGAAAGCCAAAGCCCCACCGCATGGGGCTGAAGCCCGGTGACCCAAGGCCCGCCACCTGAAGCCTGAGCAACTTAGCTTCGCAGGGCCCCCTGTGGTGTGGGGCCCTGGACAACTGCCCTGCTTGCTACCCCCAAACGCTGGCCCTGGCTCTTATATGCAGAGAAACAGTAGTTGTGAGCCATGCAGTTTGTATAGCATGTTGAGGGGGGTGGGGGGAGGGAGGAGATGACACACACACACACAACTCAGAAGGAAAAAGATTGAGAACCCCTGATCTACAGTCTGGATTCACTTAAATTCGAGGCTGGCAGCACCCAGAAGCTGCTCCCTCCTGATGGCTTGGAAAGAGCCATGAGTTTGTGGGTCTCGGCTCTCAGAGGACACACTTCCACATCCCCCTTTGACACCAGTCGGCCACCTTGCTGGCGGGACGCCGAAAGGCCACGTAGACTCCCCCCAGGTCAAGGGAGGGGCACTGGCAGGGCAGCGGGCAGGGGATGTTTGCCCCGCTGCCCTCCCTGCTCTGTGCACAGGGGCCTCCCCGCCCCAGTGCGGCCAATCCAGCACCTTTCACCCACGCCATAGTGACTGTGTGTTTAAGAAGGGGACCCCGACGTGACGGACTCACAGGGAAGAGCGGCGAGGGCTGGAGGGTAGACGGGGGCAGCGAGTCGCCTTTCCCAATGCCCACAGCTTCCACGTTGAAGGTCATCTGGCTCCGACCCCTCCCTCTGCCTCCTCTTCCAGCCATGGCTTGCTCTGCGAGGAGAGGCGGACATAGAGCCGGGATCCAACGCAGCCAAGGCCTGCACAGGGGAGGAGAGAGCCTTTTATGATCCTCAGGAATCTAGAGAATGGCATCTTCCCAAAGCCACGGCCCCGCAAAGCCGTGGGACAGATCTCCATGATAGGAACCCCGTGCACTTAATAACATGAGAGCCACCTCGCTCAGAGAAAGATACTGTTTCATCTCAGCACCTCAAAAATCTTCAACTGATTTATTCTCTGCACCCCTAGAACAGTGCTTGACCCTAGTTTGGGGACTAACAGATGGAGACACAGACAGCCGCTGTGGAATAAAGCCTTAAACCCAGATCTCCAGCAGCCTTGGTTAGTAAGCTAGCCACTGCACTGTGCTCCTTCCAACACTAACACGGAAACACAACTTCCATTTTGTCCAGTGTACTCACCCTTTTGCAGGTAGGCCTACAACCCACTGCCGCCGTCCTCTTAATATCTCGCAGCACGTTAAGGGGGGTTAAACAGCGTCCAACCTGTGCATTAGCCAACCACGCAAGTTGCCCTGATGTGATAAGCCAAACATGTAAGAGGACAAGGGTGCGCAATGCAGGACCGAGGGCGCACGGCTCAGAGCTGAGGGTGGATGGGGCACGAACCAGAGTAGGTGGAGCTGGATTTATAAATCAGCACGTATGGTATATAGGGCATGGCTCAGAGCTGAGGGTGTTGGACCCACAGTGCACGGCTCAGAGCTGAGGGTGCAAGACCCAGAGTGCACGACGCACGGTGAATGGCTTATAGCGGACAGTGCAAGCCCAGTGCTCCTGCGGCTCAGTAAATAACAGAGCGCCCAGAGAGTGTGATACCCGGCTGAGAAGTGAGGGTGTGTGGTGCAGGGTCGGGGTCCCATGGTGCACCGTACCAGGCCCCAGGCTGCACAGTGCAGGACCCCATGAGCAGCATCCAGAGCAGGACAGAGGGTGCAGTGCCAGGCCCCAGGCTGCACAGTGCACGGTGCAGGATCTGCAGTGCAGGCCCCAATGCCCAGCAGGCCCCAGGGCCAGGCCCCAGGGCGCAGGACCCAGCTGCCAGCCGCTCCCCGCCTCCCATTGGGCCGCCGCGGACCGAACCGAACCGAACCGGCGCTTTACCCGGGTCGCGCAACTGAGTCGGTCTCGCGCCGCCCGCTCCCGCCGACTCCACGTGGGTTCCGCCCGGAAGCGAATCGGATACACAACGTTCCGAAGGGGCGGGGCCCAAAGGCGGCCGCTCGTTGGTGCGCGCCGCGGCCAATCAAAGGAGGAGGCGGGCGTAAGGGGAGAGACTTTTGCTGGAGGCGAAAGAAAGCGTCAAAGATGGATAAGGAAGAAAGAAGGATGGATGGATGGAGGAGAAAGAAAGAGATAAAGAAAGATGGATAGATGGAGTAAAGAAAGAAAGAAAGAAAAAGATGGATGGATGGATGGATGGATGAAGGAGAAAGAGAGAGAAGTGTAGGTAGGGAGTGTGTGGAAGGGGCAGAGGAAGGTGGAGCCCTGCCCAGGAGGGTCTTCAAGCCCCCCAGCACTCTTTCTGCCCTGCCTTCTTCCCCCACACTGCTCTGCCCTGCCACCCAGGGGCACAGTAACCCCCTGGGGAGAGGGGGGAGCATAGGGTTACACGTGCATGGGGAGAGGGTTAGGGTGGATGGAGGGACCTGCCATGTGCTGGGCTGGGACTAGGGTGACCGGACAGCAAGTGTGAAAAATCGGGACAGGGGTGGGGGGTAATAGGAGCCTATATAAGAAAAAGACCCAAAAATTGGGACTGTCCCCATAAAATCGGGACATCTGGTCACCCTCGCTGGGACTGCCACAAGTGGGGAACCCCCCTGATTCCCTATTGGCAGGGGAGTTACGTTACTACTGTCCTTGTTAAACCTGCCCCCGGAGGTTGGGCCTCTAGAACTGGGGTTCCCTGTGGTGGCAGGTTTGACAGCATGGTCTGACCTGGAGCCATCGCTCTAGGCATTTCTACCCTGCTCGTCACCCTTAACAGCTGAGCTTCATGCAAAGCTCCCTGTGTAGCCTAGATCCTCAACTCTGCCTCACGGCTACTGCCCAGCCAGCCAGAGTTGAATCCAAGGGCACTGGTTCCCAGTGATGACCTCTGACAGTAAAACAAAGGGCTTCAGAGCTAAGGCAGCTACTTCCCCCTTCCACGGGGACAAATAACTATTACAGTACATGTCATGGGGCCTTGCAAAACTGCCAACTACACAGGTCGTCTGAACTAGAGAGATACCAGTGTGTGGAGCATTGGCACAAGCCCCCATGGGAGATCTCCCATCCAAGCATTAGCTAGACCGAACCTTGTAGGACCTGAGATGCATCTCTTCCATTGCTTTCCCTTGCTCCCCTCTTCAGCCTTTCCTGAAGTTGCTTCTACAATAGGAACAAAAACATCCGTTTCCTGACAATACAGAGCTCTATAAAGGATTTTCCCCCTCTACTTTATCTCAGGAATCAGATCTGCTCCAAGTTGCACAGATATAAATAGCAAAGAACTGGCTGCTTTCAGGAACAGCTTTTCTGTACTCCTTGTTCTAAGATGAAATTTCGCTCTCCCTCTTCCTCTGATTATTCAGCACCTTGCTGTTTTGCTTCTGCATGCAAATGAGTCCCTCACAATAAACAGGCCACTGATCTCTCTGACTTTTAAAGAATGATTTTGAGGCTGATAGAGGAAGGCTGGAGCAATGGTTAGGAGGCTGGCCTCCAACTTAAAAGACCTGGGTTCAGTTCTGGCCTTATGCAAGTCATTTAGGTGCTATGTGCCTCAGTTTCCCCATCTGCATAGTGGGGATAACAGCGCTGCCCTGCCTCACAGGCAGAGTTGTGAGGATAAATGTGTTAAAGGTTGTGAGATGTGCTGATACTACGATGATTGGGGCTGAATAAATATCTCAGATAGAGGAGTTTATTGCAACACCATCAGCCGAGTCAGGCTGGACCCATTTTCTAATAGGAGAATAGTGCTTTCGTATGGCTGCTGTTGGTTTAAATCCTGTTCAGGTTGCAGGCTGGGATGAGATTGTGTGGTTCTCTAGCTGACCTTTTGGGGACGTTTAGCCACATAACACAAATCAACTGTCTCTGCTGTAGTGGGGCCTGGCACTTGGATATACCAGAACTGGGAAAGTGCTCCCAAATCAGGAGAAAGAGGTTAGGGAGGGGGCCTAGGACTGGGTGAGCAGGGGGCTGCAGGTTGGGATTGAGAAGTGCTGTGGGGCGGGGATCCCAGGGCAGGGCTGGACTACGGTGGGGCTGCTGGTCAGGATTGAGGTGCATTGGCAGAGCTGGTGGGGAGGGAAGCCAAGGCTGAATTAATATGGAGGTTGGGATTGAGGGGCATAAACGGGGCTCCGGGGAGAGGGGCTGACGCTAAACTGGACTAGGACAGCGTCTGCAGGTCAGGATGGAGGTGCATTGGCAGAGCTCTGGGGGAGTGGGAAGCTCGGGATGGATTAGCCAGGGAGGCGTGGGTCAGGATTGTGGGGGATTAGCCTAGGGCTGGAATAACAGGGTCCATTTAGCGGAAAGCTCCAGCTACACCTGGGGGGTCCTGCTGACTCCGAGGAAGGGTTAATGGGCTGGTGGCCGCGCAGCTGGCAACCCCAGTGGGCCAGCCCAGAAAGGGCTGTTTTTCTCTGGGGAATCAAGGAGAGGCTAAACCCCCCTTGGCTTGCTGCTTGCAGACATACACTGTTCTCCCCCCGCCCCAGCCACTCTCTCTGCTGCAGCTTCTGTCCCCAGGCAGCCGGGGGCGGGGGTGTAAATGTCAGACCCAACAGGGAAGCTGCTGGAGGGAGCAAATCAACTCACGCTGCGGCCTCCTCACGCTAGGCGCAAGGCGCTTTGGCTGCTGCTGCTAAAGGTTTCACGGCATGAAGGAAGGGGGCTCCATGCTGGAGGGGGAGCTGCGGGAGCCTTAGGTTGCTCCCATTCTGCCCCTGCCAGACCCACCCCTCGTGGATCGCTGCTCTGACAAGCGCACCACCAAGCCCCTTGCAGCTAAGGCAGATGGCGCGCAGAGCAGGGTAGCTGCAGGGACCGCGACTGCTTGGCTAAAGCTTTCACACCTCTACACGATCCAGATCTCCCTTTCCCTGGGCCAGGGCTGCTCCGTCCTTTACACGGGTCCTGAAAAGCAGAGGCGGGGGCCTGGGTGGGGAACCCCTTACAGCTAAGCTGACTTGGGGTCTTTGAGCTGAGACTCTCCTGATGCTCTGTGTATACACAGCTCTGTGTGTGTGTGTACAGCTGTGTGTGTACAGATGTGTGTGTGTACACAGATGTGTGCTTGTGTGGTCTGTCAGCCTTGCCTAGACTATAGGGGTGTCATTTGCTATGAGGGAGGCCCCCAGACCTTGCTTCCCCCCCCGACTTTTCATAGGTCTATATGCTCCATTGTGTCCTCCAGTTCCCCCACCACCCCCAACATTGCAGGTTATCATATAATCACATATTCATTGATTACAAGGCCACTTTGATCTTCTTGTCTGACCCTCCCGTAGAGCACAGGCCAGAGACTGGCCCCGAAATAATTCCTAGAGCAGAGCTTTTAGAAACCCCTCCAACCTTGATACAATATTCTAGAGGCTGTCACAATTCCCCTCGCCCCTGAATTTTTCTGAAATGGTGCCTGTGACAGACTAGAGCATGAAATCAGGGCTTCCCAACTCCAGCCATGTAGCTTGATTCCAGCCCACACAACAGCGTTGGCCTACCGTCTATTCACACACACGTGCAAGAGTGTGTGTGTGTGTGTCTAGAATATTAAGATGGGAGGGTTTTCTAAAAGCTCTGCTTTAGGACCAAATTTTCACAAGAGCTCGGCTCCCATTTGGACACTGAATTAAATTGCTGGATTTTCCAAAGAGCGGTGTGTACACGGGCTGGAAAATCTGCCCCGGGGAGAGCTGCTGGGTGCTGACTCCTCTGGAGGATCCAGGCCTGGGTGAAAGATCCCAGCCGCGCTGCTCTTTGCAGCATGATGAAGCATCCCCGCTACCTCTGACTCCAGCCCCCCGCCCGGAGGATGCTTTCTGCTGAGCGGCTCCTTGGCTGCGCTGCGGATGGGGTGACTCATCTCCCCCTCCCCTCCACCCCGATTCCGACAGAGCGGCCGAAAATAGCAACGAGGGGGGAGGGGGAAACCCAAAATAACTGCCAGCACCTGGCTGGTGCCGGGATGAGAAGCAGAGAGAAGATGCGCTTGGCTCCTGCCTCCTGCTCCCAGGGAGCCGGGATTCTAGTCTCAATCCGCAGCAGAAGCGGGGCTCTGGGAGCCTGTGCGGTGCAGGCCCAGCTGTGAAGTTGCCTTAGCAACCAAGATAGATGAGGGGGAAAGAAAGAAAGAAAGAAAGAAAGAAAGAAAGAAAGAAAGAAAGAAAGAAAGAAAGAGACCAACATCTAGAAAGAGAGTCAACTTCCCCCAACCAGCTGTCCCAGTTTCATAGTTCATTTCCTTTCTATGGTCCTGGAACAAATCATTCCTCTCTCCACCTGGCTGAATGTCTGCTGCGAAAGGGGCCCAAGGGACTTAGGAACCGCACCACCATTGAATTTCACTGGCAGGCAGGCACCTGGATCCTTATGAAAATAGCCATGGAAGAGCTGGGGGGCGGGGGGAGCTCGGGGGTTCGGATACTGGGAAGTCCTCACAAAAATCAATTTAATATACAGTCCTCAAATAAAGGACAAATCAGATATTAAACTGATAACAGATATTAGCTTAGGAGATAATGTTTGTACTTCACGGTCCAAGAGACACAGACGAGGTTTTCGTCTCAGGCCAAAAGACCAAACACATCGAGACCCTTGATCGTGGCCTTTCATAGGCTGAGGGTCTACTTACACTAGATCTTAGCTCTCAAAACGAGTAGGCACCAGGCCGGACTCGGCAGTCCCCCGTGCTGCTCTCGCTCCAGCGCGATGCCATCCGCCCCCGTGGAAATCGCTCCGGAGCCCATCCGCTGTTAGCGAGAAGGGTGGGGGTCAGCCCTTGACATCTACACTGCAAAAAAAATACCCCCGGGGCAGCAAGTCTCAGCGCCCGGATCAACTGACTCGGGCCCTGGGGTTCACGTGCTGGGGCTAAAAAAAGCAGTGTAGACATTCTGTAAATAATCTTGTTCCCTGAAAGAGCCAGGCAGCTGAAATGAGCTGTAGCTCACGAAAGCTTATGCTCAAATAAATTGGTTAGTCTCAAAGGTGCCACAAGTACTCCTTTTCTTTTTCCGAATACAGACTAACAGGGCTGCTCCTCTGAAACTTAGCCAGTAACTTCTCTCACCACAGAATCAGCTGGAGGCAGAAACTGGGGGCTGGGAAATTCCAGCCCAGATGGTTAGAGTTTGGCAAAGTTATAAGGAGCCACTGAAAACAGAGTCTTATAATGGAAACTTACCAAGAGGCAGCGTTACCTATGCCGCCGGTGATCCAGTCTGGGTTGTGGCTGAGTTCTGGGCCACGCCAGCAGTTAGACGACGTGGGGCTGAGCTCCAGGTGTACAGCCCGGCAGAAAAAGTCCACGAGGCATTCCTGTGTCCCTCTTCGCCATGGCAGCTGAGCATCCCCCAGACATTAACAGGCTTCTGTTTTACAACATCCCTGGGAGGCAGGGAAGGATTATGCCCATTTTACAGATGGTGCAAGATAACTTGATGACACAGGAGGTCTATGGCAGCCCTGGGATTTGAGCTCAGGTCTCCTGAATCCCACTCTCCACTAAGCCAGCTCTCCTGACCCCCCTGTGTAACTTACCAGGGCAATCAGCTAATACATAGCATCCCATTAGCGAAAGTCCTGCTGGCCCAACTTGGCCATATGTGTTCCAAAGTGTCACTCCGCTTTGCAGGCAGGCTTAGGGCTATGGTCCCTGATGTGGGTGTCCGCCCATCCTGCATCAAGCCACGGGAACCAAATAACACTGACTAAACCTGCTAAATCACACAGCAAAGGCAGGGTGAATGAAGCCAAGAAATGGATGGGAAATGAGTTTTCCAGCTGCGAGCCTATAAAGTCAGGGCCTCCTCTTTCTCAAATGCCTGCCTATTGACTTGTTTGCTGGAGACAACAGCAGAAGTCAGAAGACCTGGGTTTGATGCCTAGCTCTGCTACTGACAGGCTGTGTGACCTTGGGCAAATCACTTCTCCTGTGACTATAAATTCTGCAGGGCAGGCACATTGTCTACAGCAGCTAGCACAATGGTGCTCTAATCTCTGCTGGCATTACTCCCATAAGAATAACTTGGTTTTAAACCCATAATCAAAGGCCTTCTCCATACCAGAGTTGTCGTGCTTTAACTATACAGTATCAGTACGGTTAAAGCAGTACAATTCCCTGACTGTGGGTGGAGTTATACCTGTATAAATCTGCTTACACCAGTATAGCTAGGCTGGTCAGAACTCATTTTTTGTTATTTTAAAACGAATAAAAGGAAGTATTTCTTCACACAACGCACAGTCAACTTATGGAACTCCTTGCCAGAGGATGTTGTGAAGGCCAAGACTATAACAGCATTCAAAAAAGAGCTAGATAAGTTCATGGAGGATAGGTTCATCAATGGCTATTAGCCAGGATGGGCACGGATGGTGTCCCTAGCCTCTGTTTGCCAGAAGCTGGGAATGGGCGACAGGGGATGGATCACTTGATGATTCCCTGTTCTGTTCATTCCCTTTGGGGCACCTGGCACTGGCCACTGTCGGAAGACAGGATACTGGGCTAGATGGACCCTTGGTTTGACCCAGTAGGGCCGTTCTTATGTTCTTATAATTTTGATGGATAATATCAACATTTGTTTCTAAGCATTTTTGGTTGATTTGTATCAATTTAAATTTTACAGTTGGAGGAAATTTCGGGCAGGGAGGTCAGACAACAGCGGACGTCAGACAATAATTATTTCATGACAGTCGACCTTGAGATTCAAAAAGTTAGAACTTTATGACCGTTAAAACACAAATTGCCAACATCCCTTGCAAAATATGCCAAGTAACTATCCTTCAATCAAACTCCAAGAAGCATTCAAGCAGCATTTTCCATACTTTGTGAATTTCAGTCATCAATGGAAGGACTTTTTTGTGGGTTCGGTGAAATTGATGTTTACCGATAAAAATCAAATAATTGCAAATCTGAATATCACTTATTCCTGTCTGGGAAGGGGAATAACCTGTACCAATATAAGACCCCTTTATACAGTATAATTGTGAACACAGTAGGGGCTGTACTAACTATATTGGTAAACAATCACTCCTGTAGCCAACACAGTTATACTGGTCCAAAATCTGTGTGTACGCCCAGGGCTGTGCCTGTCCAGCCCCTAGCATTCCCGGCTTGAATGTCTGTACAGCGCCTAGCGCAACTGTGCCATGATCTTAGTTGGCATTATTGCACTAACACCATCAACTCAATTTTAACCCATCCACCGCCTGGGTTTGGCTGAGGTCAAAGGTCTTCTGGGGCTGAAGAATTATGAAGGAAACTGACTTTTCCCCACAAACACCGAGCGCATTCGGAACCGGGCAGGGAGCGATAGGAATACAGTTAGTCACGGTAACCATGGCAACAGTGCAGGGCAGGCACCAGGGATTACAAAAGCTTCCGAAGAGGTGCCTATGAAAGGCGCAGCCCCCGCACGGAGAGCCAAACACGCGCACCCACACATCTGGCCATTATACCTGGTGGCCTCCACCTTGGCCGCTTTTCGTCTCTTCCCTTAGCACAGTTGAATCTCCCGGCGTAGGCAGCAAGAATCTGGCCGTGGCTGCGAGCTATCACTCATGCAAATCCCCGAGACTGTGTTCACCATGCAGACATGTAGCATGTTACAGCCGCAAAGTGCTTCGTGCAAGCTGGCCCATGCCAGTCTCTCCATTTTACAGATGGGGAAACTGAGGCATGGAGAAAGGGATGGGCTTGCCCAAGAGCATGTAGAGGAGCCCATGGCGAGCTGGAGGTAGAAACCAGAAGTCCAGCTTTCCAGTCCCCTGCTCTAACCATTAGCCAACACTTCCCACCTCCATCCTTGATGGGATCCAAAATGAATCTTTGAGGCAAGGATGGGGGTGGGGAAACTGGGGGTATGTCCACACTGAACCGTAAACCTGGGCTTAGGCTCAGGTTTGAGCCCAACCTCCCGCCACCCCATACTGTCTACACACAAAACTGTATGGGATGGGTCAGCAATCATTCAGGATCTGAAGCCTAGGACCCACCTGGCAGGGCTGGGTCTGAGTTCAAGTTCCACTGAGACTCGGGTCCAAGCCCCATTATTTTGCAGTGTGGACACAACTCAAGCCACAGACCCAGGTCAGAAGGTCTGTGTAGCGCAGTATGGAGCCATCGCCACAGTTGTGAGTCATGGGTCTAGCAACTGTTAGCCCAGGTTGACAGTGCACCATGGATGCTCGAGTGTGAGTTTGAACACACCGAGTCCACAAGCCCGGATGCCATAAAACCAGTTTTACAATGCAGTGGCGACAGACCCTGGGAGGACCCTGAGTATCTACCCCTCCCTTGCTCTGCAACTTGTGAAGGCATTTACAGCCCTGTCCCGTGAGAGGTAGTGTGGGCTAGTGGGTAGGGCAATGGTCTGAGACTGGGGGAGACCAGGGCTCTTTTCTTGGTTCTGCCGCTGCCCTGCTTGGGTCATGTTGAGCAAGTCGCTTCCCAGCTCTGTGCCTCAGTTTCCCCTCCCCCCCATTGTCTGTCTGGTCTAGTTGGTTTGTAAGCCACTATGGGGCAAAGACCATCTCTCGCTCTGGGTCAGTGAAGCACCTGGCACAATGGGGCCAGTGGTGGCGTTTATCCCAGAGGAGCTGGAATTAAGGGTGCGGGAACACCTCCTGACTTGAAGTGGTTTCCATCATATACAGGGTTTACAATTTGGTCCAATGGCTCTCAGCACCCCCACTACACACATTGTTCCAGCACCCCTGGTTTCCAGCAGCCCCCCTGCAAAGTTCAGTTGTGGGGGGGGGGGGCTACCGGTGTTGCTGTCCAACACACTAGACAGGGTTTGCACCCCTGCATCATCACACTGGGGGGGGAAGGGATTGTGCTTCACCTTGGCTTTTGCTTTGCCACCAAGGCCAAGTAACTGAATCACCAGGCGAGTGGGGGCCCCTCGCTGCTTGGGCATTGCAGAGGACCTCACACAGACACTGAATGGGGCCCTGATCCCCGCTGAAGCCTGGAGGCGGTGCTACCATGCAGGGCCCTAATATTCCTAGAATGAGGTGACTTGGCGAGGGTGTCCGTGGGAACACAAAGGAGCAGGGCAGCGAAGGATCGAGGGTTCATCGCGCCCAGCACTGCCGTGGCCAGGGGGTGATATTTATAGTACAGTAGCATGCATTGGACTCATCCCCAGCATCCTAAGGAGACAATGCCGTAGGTGCTGGAAGTAGGGGTGCGGCCTCACCCCCCTGGCTTGAAGTGGTTTCCATCATATGCAGGGTTTACAGTTTGGTTCGGTGGCTCTCATCACCCCCCCCACTGTGCACATGGAGAGTGCCACCAAATTGCTACAGAGTGAGATCAAGGGATTAGACCAGGGCTGAGCAAAATTCCTAAGCACTGGCGGGGGGGGGAGGAGAGGGGAGTGGAAGAGGCGGGCCCCTTTCCCATGTATATTGGTGCAGTGTGATCGCTCTGTGTAGTTGAATGGAATAGCTACTTCTGGTCTATGGGAATGGAGCTAAAAATAGCAGCCCGGCTGTGTCTCTGCAAAGAGCCGGTCAGGCTGTGGCAGTAAGTGGAAAACACCGGCGCTCAGTCACCTATCGGCAGGGCTGCAACCGGAGTGGGGAGGGGGAAAATGCTGCTAAAAAAAATGCAGAGAAGGGCTTTGATGGACTGAATTATTTGGCTTCGCTTTGTCTATCCCCCTGTCTCAAGTTGAATGGGGTCGATTTCCTTTAAACACCCGCACGCACCCAATGCACAAAAGGGGAGCAAAGGTCTCAAGACATGAAAACTCTGCAGGCTTCTGCTCCGCTTTCCCGGGGGTGAGGAGGAAGCATGTGGCCCAGAAGAGCCGGCAGCAGGTGACGGGAGAGGGTCCAACCACGCCAGGTACGATCCCGCTTTTAAAAAAGAAGAGAGCAGCAGGGGGGCTGGAACAATGTGTGTAGTGGGGGTGCTGAGAGCCATTGAACCAAACTGCAAACCCTGTATATGATGGAAACCACTTCAAGCCAGGGGGTGCGGCAGCCCCCTAGTTCCAGCACCTCTGGAGAGCGGGCTATAAAAGAATGATAGAGCAGCTAGCGGGTGCTGAAAGCAGCAAGCACCACCGTTGCTTCTGGTCGGGGATCAGCGCATGGGTCCTGCGCTTAGGCTAAAATGCAGACAGGGATGGGAGAGAAAGCCTCCTGGACAGTATGAAGATCTTGTCTGTCACATGCACTGTCCGTTTGTCCTAAAATCCCATTCCTCAATGGCTACTGGTTTCCAGAACAACCCAGCGTGCACTGGAACTCTGGGATTCTCTGGCTGCACTTATTTAATGAATGATTAATTAGTCATTCTTATTAAATGTGTTTCTTTTTCATCAGACTAATCATGAATGTCTCTGTGGCTATATGTCCACGCAGGTGTCTTTCTGCTCTTACCCATCTGGTCCCTTTGGTGTTTTATTCTGCTGATCCAAACCAAGCCAGAAATCTGGTTTATATTAAAATCTAATCACGTTTTATTGCCACTAGCTGGTGTATTGCTTTAAATCCACCTGTTTAATAGAATTAGAACAGTAATAGAATTAGCCTTTGATTTAAATGTATTTCACTGGCTGTACTCACCCTGAACTGTAATATTCAGCATCACAAGTTCCTTTAAATTCCAGATATAGATAGATAGAGAGAGAGAGAGATAATTTCTCTCACTCCATTCAGTAGGTTGCCTTCATTCTTATGTGGTTATGTAAGCAAACGTGGGTGAAAGCTCTTTCTAATTTAGACCAGAATATTTTCTTTAGGTTCCTCTCATAACCCCCAAGAAAATCCCTTTACCTCTGAAATGGAAAAAAGGATCCCTGGAAGACTTTTGATTCCAATAAATTTGATTCCAATAAATCAGACCATTTCTACACTGAAATCCACCAGGCATTCCCAGTTCACCTCGGTAGCAATTTGCCGAAAACCGAATCTCTTCCTTTTCCAGTTGCAACCCACAAATGCAAAGATGAGGCAAAGAATCTATCTGGCTTTTCCCTCTTTGTTTTCTCTGTTTTTCATCCATTGCATGCCTTGATATTCAACGTCGCTGTCAGAGCTTTAAACCTTTGTTTCCTAAAGCCTTATTGCTCTGCAGGGATTTGGGTTGGGTTTTTTTAAATGAAAAAAAGGGCTGCTTCATCTGGAAAAGGCTGTGGTTTTTTCACCCAAAAGCACAGGACTTGTCTTTGAAAGATTCCAAAGGTAAAATGGCTTTTTCTACTTAGAGGTCCTATGGGGACAAGCAGAGTGAGATCTTACCAGACCGTAGCTTATTTAGCCTGCATTCCTGGACAATAAATGATGAAGGGTTTACAGGATTCCCGAGATGAAATTGCCTGCTTTATTACACCCCAGCATGACAGATGGATTTTCCTGATATGATATAGGGCTCTCATAGATTTCCTATGGTGGAGCTCAGGAAAGAATCCGTAGGAATGAGAGAGGTAATTTCTCATTCATTCCCCAAGCAGTGTGGAAGACAATGTATCAACACTGACTTGAAACTGAGACAGTAGATGGGGTGGAAGGGGTGATGGTCTCACAGGAAGGGCACTCGAGTAGGACCCAGACGATCTGGGTTTAATTCCTGGCTCTGCTACAGATTCTCTGTGTGACCTTGGTCAAGTTGCTTCATCTCTCCTGGGCCTTTAGTTCCCCACCTACAAAATGGCGATAATCCCTAGGAGAGGCTAAAACCCATTTGTGATTGTGAAGAGCACGGCTGGGATGCTGACGAGGGCAAACTACATAGATAGAGGGGAGGGGCATTGTTTAGGATGTTTAAGTCAGAAGGGGTTCAATCCTATGGTGGTGGTAAATGGCCCATTGTGGTCTTAAAAATCCATGAACCCTGAACAGTTCCATTAACCCCAGGGGAGAAGGGGAGACTCACACTGAAGTGGGCCCAAGTCCAGTGAAGTCAGTCGAAAGGCCCTGCCTTTGGATTAAGGCCCAAGGCTCCTACTGCCACAACCCTCACTCTGGTGAGCGATCTGGGTGAATCCATAGAAGTGACTGAGGCTACTCAGGTGAGTAAGGATTACTTGTGGGATCAAGGGTAGCAGGTTCAGCCTGTAAGAGCCCAACTTTGCCTGCCTTGCTGGAGCCAAGCTCCGATCAGGGTTGGCTCAGGTAGGCTGTGCAGGATTGGGCCCAAAGGTCGGTTTGGGTTTCCTTTGGCAAAGGGTGGGGGGCAGGGGGAACATCCCAGGCTAGCGACACCAGGGGCCAGATCCTGAGCAGGTGCAAATCAGCACAGCTCTGGGAAAGTCACTTGAGCAATGCTAATTGACAACAGCTGAGCCTTCGGCCCACTGATTTCCACAGAGCTCTGGCCCAGTGACACCAGTTGGGAATCTGACCCACTGACTCCAACAGAGCTATGTTGATTTACACCAGCTGGGGATCTGACACAATCACTTCCTTTTATTTCTAAATAATAACAACCAACCACCCAAGAGGCCCTCCCAGCACCAGCCCCTCGAAAAAGCCCCCAGAAAGTAGCGATAAGACAAAAAATAAGAGAAAAAAGGGGCAGATTTGAGCCTTAAATGGTGAAACTGACAGCTCTGGGTCTATTCCTGGAGGCCTCAACACGGGGTGTGTGGGGAGCGGGGGTTGTTCCAAAGAGGAGCAAAAGCATCCCACAGTTGCTGCGTTCTCTTGCTTCCAGACTTGTGAGGGTGAGGTCCAGAGGAGAGAAACTGACGCACGAGAACGATGCCTCATTTTTGAAGCGTCTTGCTGGTCAATATCTCCTCTGACATCTTGGGGGCCGGATGCTTCTCTGTAAGGGAAGATGTGCAGAAATTACAGTGCTTGCGGCCTCTTATCGATCGACTCGTTTTCTCACGCGTGCCTTTTGGTGTCACTGAAATGTTGGCGGCTGCTCAGGATAAAATCCGTCAGAAATAAAACCCTCATCATAGTGCATCGCGCTTCAGTTCTGAGCCGCAGCATGCTAGGATCAATAGAAAGGCTGTTGCTTTCTTCAGTGGAGTTTGGATCGGGCCCTTATGTGGCACTTTTCAGTTGGGCTTTTCAATGGGCACCTAACTCCTTTAGATTTCTTTGAAAATCCCTCGCCTCCCGCTAGAGATCTCAAAAGTGTTTTGAAAAAGGTGGGTGAGTAGCTGTGAGCCCCAGTCTATAGCTGGGGAAACCGAGGCACGGAGCAAGGACATGATTTGGTATAGCCAAGAAGAGAACCCAGGAGTTCCCAGTCCCCTGCTTTAACCACTAGACTGCACTCTGGCCTACAACTGGCAATCGAACCCAGGAGTCCTGATTCCCAGCCCAACTGCTATACAACATGCCCTGCTACAGATAGTAAAAAAACAAAAAACAAAAAACCCTCAGGGAGTTCTGATCATCAGACCGCCTCTGCCCGCTTTAACCACTAGTGTGCACTGCCTGTGAAAGCTGGTAATAAAGCCCAGGAACACTGATGCCCGGGCCCATGCTCAAATCTAGATTCCTTCCTCCCTCTCTCCACACCAGTGAAAGCGCTGGGGACTAAAGCTGAGTTAAATCTAGAAGTAATGAGGAAATTAGTGGGTGCTAATAACAAAACAGATAAAGCAGGTCACTCAGTGTGGGTTAGCTGGCAGCTCACTCGTTGTCTGACAAATGACAAATGATTCCAGGGCCCTCCCCCGGCTTTGTATTGCAGCACATGGATGGGTTTTGAAATGACACTTTAACAGAGCTAGTCATTGCGAGTTAATCCAGTGTTTTCTCAAAATGAACGCTCCATTGGCTCAGAGGGACGTGCAAGCCTTTCTAATATGCTTAATTTGAAAGACTAAAGGAAATGTTTCATGCGACAGCTAGATCTGGAGATGCAGTGAGAGAGAGATGCAGACGAAGATTAGGTAGATAGATAGATATGAAGATTAGAGAAGAAGGCTGAGATGTTTCAAGTTGCTGAGAGTATTTGGATGCCCGCTTCCTATTAGTTTCACTGGGAATTGACCATCTAAATCCCACAGAAAACGCCAGTCCATCTATTTTCAATCTTCCCCCTTTTCCCCTCCATCAGCTGGGGCTGCCGGCCTGAACTGGCCTCCTCCAACTTCTCTCCCGGTCCAGCCAGCCGCACAAACTAATTATCCTGGGCAGAATTAATGACCCGTCCAATCCTTGCAGAGAGAGGTGAGCTATTTCGGGGTGGGGCTGCGCTTTTTTGGGGGGGGGGGTTGAGAAGGCTACATGAGAATGACAGTTCATTTCCCAGGATCTGACCCGGCCCAAAAGTGGGCTCAGGAGACAAATATTGAGAGTAAATCTTTTGCTTCTATACCTACAGAAACGTCTTCCACCTCTCACACATTCACAAACGCTCATCACGTTACATGTTCACATCTTCTTTCCCTTGCTCATTTGTTACACACAGCCCTATGCTTGGTCACACTGCGCCTTCTCACCCCCTCCTACCCCCCAGGAGACAGGGATTCAGTGCCCAGCTCTGTCTCATTGGATCAGATTTCCAAGCTCCCAGTGTAGCTACTCTAACCCCTCTCTCCCAGCGCTGTGCACAGAACCCAGGAGTCCTGGCTCGCAGTGTCCTGCTCTAACCATTGGACAACACTCCTTCCAGGACAGAATACTCCTGAGCGTTTTAGGATAGGAAGCAAAGATCATTGTGGCCAGTGACTACCCCGGTCGTGCTGCGATCAGGCCACCAGCTTTAGCAAGAAGGGGCCTGCTAATGACCACATGTGGTGAGGCCTTCTGAGAAGAACACCCCCCATTGAGTCACCAACACCACCGGGGGCAGCGGTCTCTCATCTAAGTCATAACCCCAGCCAGCCCTGCTTAGCTTGCCACCCAGTGCCATGGGCTATAACCACAGGCAGCCTGCTGCCTCTTACTGGAAGAGCTCTGAGCAGGCCCATTTGGTGCCATTAATCCGCAGCGCTCAACATCCGTGATTCAATCAGGTCCTGGTCCCCGGGGCACCGGGTCAGTGGATGGCGCCAGCCTCTGATGATTTGTAGGATGCTGCTTGCTCGTTAGCCCTGCTAATTAGCTTTCCTTGTCTTCCTCTTCTCTTTCCCCACCTCTTTTATTCTCTTCTCTTTTGCTCATCGGCTCTCCTCTGCATCCCCTCTATTCACCTTCCGTCTTCCAGGCCCCTTTTTCTCTCTTCCTCCCCTGCCTTTCCTCCATTGCTCCTTCCCTCTTTACCTCCTCCTGGCCTTTTTCTTCCTTCCCCCTTTCTTTACCTTCCCTCACCACTTATTCTTTCCATCTATCTCATTCTTCCTCTCCAGCACTCTTCCATGCTCTCCTCCCCGCCCCGTTCCCTGCTTCACCCCTCTTGCCTCTCCTTTGCCTCCCAACGTGGGCCCAGGTGGGAGGCAGCGTGAATCAATCCGGCAGAACACGTGGCCGAGTTTTTCCAAAGAGCTGTGCACACCAGAAGCCGGGCCCTTCTGAAAAGCTGCTGCCCATCTGTGTCCCAGCGGGACCCATACAGGGGCCTTTGGGAAATCTGGATTTTATTCAGGTGCCTACACTGGCCGCTTGCCCTGATCGGGGCCGGGGGCAATCCAGCCTGCAGCTCTTCGGGCAAGCTGGCCCTGTTTGCATCGGACTCCGCAAGCTGGCACCAATAGACACGGTGTCACCTACACCCCCAAGCGAGATATTTCTGGTGAATTAGGCAGGACCGGCAGCCCTTCTCCAATGCCCCTCCAGCCAACCAGCTCACCAGCTGCCAGGGCAGAAGGGGCTGGGGGCGGCTGGGGGGGGGGGGGGGAACGCGCTCACCAGCCAAAATTCTTTTGATTAGTTCACTTGTTTTTTTCCAACATTGAATTAATTACCCTTTTCCACGCGGGCGCCAGCTGGTAGGATTTTGAGTCAGGCAGGCAGGTTGGGATGGGAAGCCAGGGGGCTCTGCCAGCACTCGGTGACGGCACGTGCATGTGAGTTGAGAGTTTAACTCTCTGGAGACCTGCTAATGGCTGGTGGGGAGCATCCCTCACGGTAGGCAAGAACCTACCCTGGGCTGCAGTGAAGCGAAAGGGAGGAGGGCCGTGCTGCATAAGAACAGGTATCCTGGGTCAGACCAATGGTCCACCTAGCTCGGCATCCTGTCTTCCGCTGCCAGGTGCTTCGGAGGAAATGACCGGAAGAGGCAATCATCGAGTGATCCATCCCCTGTCGTCCACACCGAGCTCCTGGCAGTCAGAGGCTAGGGACCCCCAAACCATGGGGTTGCCTCTTTGCCTGTCTTGGCAAATAGCCATCGATGGACCTTTCCCTCCATGAACGTGTCTAATGCATTTTGAAGCCCATTCTAGTTTTGGCCTTCACACAATCCCCTGGCAATGAGTTCCACAGGTTGGCTGTGCATGGTGTGAAGAAATAACCTAGCACCACCACCTGCTTAGGTCCTGGTTTGGCTTCATGGACAGTGCATTAAGCTATACCAGAGATGAGTGGGATAATGCCCCAGAGGTTTCAGAGGAACAGCCGTGTTAGTCTGTATTCGCAAAAAGAAAAGGAGTACTTGTGGCACCTTAGAGACTAACCAATTTATTTGAGCATGAGCTTTCGTGAGCTACAGCTCACTTCATCAGATGTTTACCGTGGGAATGGCCGCTACCACCACCAAACTAATACTGGTTACTGGGGAAGAGCTGTTTGGACGCGTCTTTCCCCCCAAAATACTTCCCAAAACCTTGCACCCCACTTCCTGGACAAGGTTTAGTAAAAAGCCTCACCAATTTGCTTAGGTGACTACAGACCCAGACCCTTGGATCTTAAGAACAATGAACAATCCTCCCAACACTTGCACCCCCCCTTTCCTGGGAAATGTTGGATAAAAAGCCTCACCAATTTGCATAGGTAACCACAGACCCAAACCCTTGGATCTGAGAACAATGAAAAAGCATTCAGTTTTTACAAGAAGACTTTTAATAAAAAATAGAAGTAAATAGAAATAAAGAAATCCCCCCTGTAAAATCAGGAGGTAGATATCTTACAGGGTAATTAGATTCAAAAACATAGAGAACCCCTCTAGGCAAAACCTTAAGTTACAAAAAAGATACACAGACAGAAATAGTTATTCTATTCAGCACAATTCTTTTCTCAGCCATTTAAAGAAATCATAATCTAACACATACCTAGCTAGATTACTTACTAAAAGTTCTAAGACTCCATTCCTGTTCTGTCCCTGGCAAGAGCAGCTGTCCCATGTGCCATGAATGCAGGGTGAGTGAGACTCAGGCAAACCTGGATTCTATCCCCAGCTCTGCTGCTGGGCGACCTTGGGGAATGCCCCGTGCCTCAGTTTCCCCATCTGTAAAATGGGGGTAATAAGCCTCCCCTCCTTTGAGACCCACCAGTGAGAAGAGTTAGAGATTAATCTTGTCTGGATTGCTCCATCGTTGACAACAGAGTGGGACGAAGGTGGGTTTTTCTGCAGCAGGAGCTGCTGAATTCCCAACTGGTTTTGCCTTTGTTCTCTGGGAAGTCTGAATATGGGTGCAGAGGTGATGTGGAAGGAGGGGGCCTGCCAGCCAGACACGTGGGTGTGAAACTGAGGCCATGTCCCACAGAGGCCTTAAAAATCCCAGGGCATTTCTTAGCCAGGCCCAATTTCAGTATGAGTAAGGAGATTCTGTCTGCCTAGCTTCACCTGTTGGAGCCCTCACTTCCTGTCCTAAAGTGGTGTGCAGCCTTGCGGTACACCATTAAACAGCTCTCCTGCCCCAGAATTGGCTGTGCTTCAGTGCTGGGTGAGTGATCCCCGTGTAACACTGCTATGGTTCTCCTCCACCTCAGAGGTGGCCGCATTCCAGTGCTGGGTGAGTAATCCCTGTGAAGCGTTGCTGTGGCTTTTAAGCAGCTGCCATGCAGCACCCCAGAACTTGCTGCATTTCAGTATTGGGTGCGTGTTCCCTGTGCAGCATTGCTACGCAGCTGTTAAACAACTGCCTTCTTCCATTCCAGAGCTGGCTGCATTTCAGTGCTGGGTGAGTGATCCTTTTGCAGCATGGCTGTGGGCTATGTCAGCCGTGGTAGTGTGATCTCTCTGCAGCATTGCTGTGTGGCTGTTAAACAGCTGCCACGTTCCACCCCAGAGCAGGCTACGTTTCAGCACCAGCTGCGTAGTCACTGTGAAGCCCAGCTCCGCGGCGATTAACCAGCTGCTGCGTTGCAGCCCAGAGGTGGCATCTCAGTGGTGAAGGGGTTGCTTGGTGACGAACGATGCTGTAGCAATGTAAGATTTCACGATGTGCTCTCCCTCTCTCTCTCTTTCTCTGTCCAGGGAGGTGCTCTGCCTGTGCAATGCCCCGTCCCGCTTCCCACAACCCCGGCTTAACCCCACGAGACCGCCCGGCCCCAGGCCCCGCCTGGCGATGAGCGACCCAGCCGCCATGCCGCACGCGGAGGGGAATGCCCTGCTGAAGGCTGTCTGGCAGGGCAAGTTTCGCCTCACCCGCCTCTTGCTGGAAGGCGGGGCCTATATCAACGAGGGCAACGCCCAGGGCGAGACCCCGCTGATCGCCGCCTGCCTGGCCCGCTATGACGACCCGCACCACAAGCCCCGCATGGTGCGCTACCTGCTGGAGAACGGCGCCGACCCCAACATCCCTGACAAGACGGGCAAGACGGCCCTGATGCACGCCTGCGCCGACCGGGCCGGGCCCTCGGTGGCTTCGGTCCTGCTGGAGCACGGGGCCGACCCCAGCGCCCGGGACTACGCGGGGGCATCGGCCCTGGTGTATGCCATCAACCGGGACGACCGGGAGACCTTGCAGGTGCTGCTGGACGCCTGCAAGGCCAAGGGCAAGGAGGTGATCATCATCACCACCGACACGTCCCCCTTGGGCACCAAGAAGACCAAACAGTACTTGAACTCGCCCCCGTCCCCGGGTCTGGAGGAGAAGTCACCGGCCCTGTGCATGTCGCCCTCCGACATCGAAGTCAAGACCACCCAGTCGCCCGGGGCCAGCGAGAAGGAGGAGGCGAGGGACGTCTTCAACTTCACCATGGCCACCCGGCTGACCTGCCCCCCGCCGCCTCCTCCCAAGGGGCTGGAGGCCGAGGCCTCCGCGGAGCAGCCGCCGGCAGCCCCGCCACCCAAGGGCCGGGCGAGGCAACTCAAGAGACTCAACTCGGAGCCGTGGGGGCTGGTGGCGCCTTCCGTCTTGGCCACCTCCCATCTGGAGAAGGCCCGGACGCCAGAGGAGAGGATCACGGCCGAGATGAACGGCTTGAGCATCACCAAGAGGCCCGTGCTGTCACGGAGGCACAGCATCGAGGGCCAGGAGCCCCCCGGTTTCAAGACGGTGGCCCCCCAGGGCTCTGGGGAAGAGGCCCCGGGCCCGGAGGCACCCTGGGCCGAGAAGGTTCATTTCAGCCACCTCCACCAGCCTCTGTCGCGGCGCAACACGGCCCCCGAGGCCCAGGAGAGTGGGGGGGCCCCGGCGCCCAGCCTGCGGGGCATGGCGCACCCTAAGCTGGCCCGCATGGAGCACTGCGAGTCAGACGCGCACCTCTGCCCGGACTCCATCCCCGGCTCCCCGGATTCAGGCCGCCTCTCCCTGGAGAGGAGGAAATACAACGCCTCCCCGCTGACCCTGCCGGCCAGCTCTTCCCGGGAGTCCCTAGAGAGCATCCCCAGCGCCGTGTCCCCCATGACGGGACGGCGCCGCTCCCCGGGGCTGCTGGAGAGGAGGGGATCGGGGACCCTCCTCCTGGATCACATTGCCCACACCCGGCCTGGCTTCCTGCCCCGGCTCAACATCAACCCCCACCCTCCCATCCCTGACATCCGGGCCAACGGCCGGCCCCCCCTCGCCTGTGCACAGGGGCCTCATCCCCATGGCCCCCAGCTCCCCCAAGGCAAAGAAGAAGCTGTTCAGACGGCACTCTATGCAAACGGAACAGATCAAGCAGCTGGTCAATTTCCAGAACATGCTGGCCCAGGGCAACTCGGCCAGTTAAAGGGACAGAAGCCCCAACCAGGGAAAGGAGGAGAAGAGGCCTAGATTTATTCTATCCCCCATCCCATTTGCTGCTCCTGCAGTGGGGAGGAGCTGGAGACACCCCCCCACCCATCCCATCTCTCCAACCCCATCCTGGGTGGCGAGCCCATTGTGTCTGGGTTGCTGTGTATCCCCCACCCTGCTGTGCACTCGTGTATCTATCCTAGCCACGGGCCACGCCCAGGGTGCAGGAAATGCGACCGGAACAGGAGCACTCCAGTGCTGGGCCGTGGCCCAATTGGGCCAGGATCCCCCGTGCGACCAACTTCGGGATGGCGCTGTGCCCCTTCGGTGGAGGCCCTGAGGCCACAGCCGGGCAGCGGAAGGCCCCCAAGCATCACCGCCCATGACTGTGCCATGTGGCCACAGAGCGGCCGGAGCCCGCTGGGAAACCTGGCCTACACTGGGAGTGGGACGATGACAGCTTCTAATGGCTGCTCCCACGCGCCAGTCAGGAATACAAAGGGGAGGCACGTGGGTCCCGTCCCTCCGGGTCCTGCCGGGCACGGCCTGGAGATGCAGAGGAGCAGAAAGAAAAAGGGAATGAAAGGGTCGATTTGGGTTCAAGATCAGGAACGTGGCCAGCCGGAGCCTCTTCCAGTTTCCAGCAGCAGTTTGTGCCTGATCCAGGTTCAAAGCCAAAGGCAGCCTCGCTCGGTTTGCACGGCTCTCCGACCTGGAAGGAAGCAGCAGTGATCCTAGAGACAGACACCCCCCACCCCCAGTGGCCTTGCACCCCACCTGCTGCTCCCTGCAATATCCTATTTATTAGCGTGAACGCCGTCAGGACTCCTGGGTTCTCTCCCCACCTCTGAGGGGGCAGCATTGTCTGGCGGGCGCAGCAAAGGGAGACCTAGGGCTGCATTTGCAAAAATGCTAGAGATTTGGGACGCCCAACTGCGCTGAGCACGCGCCTACTGGAAACCAGGCCCCTTTGAGGCATCTCAGGCTGGAGCACTCAAAAACGGAAGCACTTTAGGCACGGGGCACTGTTTCCCAGCTCCAGGAGGGGGAGTGTTGTCTAGTGGTCAGAGGACTGGGCGCTAACGACGCTCGGGTTCTCTACCTGTCTCTGCCACTGACTCACTGGGTGACTCTGGCCTAGTGACACTCCCGCTCCGTGCCTCAGTTTCCCCCACCTGTCAAATGGAGGGAATGTAAAGCACTTTGAGATCCCTGGCTCAGAGGTGCTCTGGAAATGCTACATCCTATTTGTTAGTTATTTAGCATTCAGTCTCTGGCAGAGCCGCCCCCCTAGACAAAGCAATATGACTGGGGACGCACAAGAAGTTACCCCCAAACACTGGTGGGAGGGCTGGAATAAACCCTTTAGGCACAGAGTGAGGGATTGAGCAGAGCGTCACCGATGGAGAAGGGAAACCATTTCAGGGGGAGGGAGGGGACTGAGTCAGTGTAAATAGGCAAATAGATACCCAATGCCAACCCCATAGTGCAGACCCAGTGCACTGGCATGGGTTACCCTGCTTTTCCACCAGGAGGCGCTGTGCTTCTTTGGCCGTGCGGCACAGCCGTGGATTGTCAGCACAAGAGGTTTGCACTAGCGTAACTGCATTGGTGCAAACAAATCCCGTTGCAGACAAGGCTTTAGGCCCAAGTCCTCAAAGGTATTTAGGTGCCTGACTCCCAGTGGGAAGATCTGGCCCCTAGTTACGAAGCTATGATGCTGCAGAGTGCTCAGGTTTCCCCGCACTTCCCTAAGTGATGCTGCAAAGTCTGAGTTAACTAAGGGAGTTAACACTTGCACAGGTCTCCCTATAAGCACAAGGAGACTGTAATCAGGGCCCTGTGTATCTGCTACTCTGCAGAACTCGCCCCCGTGCTGTGCTCCCTTTTCTGTTTGCAGAAATACACTTGTAGCCCTTGTGGCAGCTAGGCCAACCTTCCCTGATTGGCATGTATCTGATGCCAATTGGCCTGACCTAGTCTTTAGACAGCCTACAATGGTCACTCTAAGAGATGTGAACCCGTTGATGCCAACTGGGTGTTGACTCTAAAACCTACTGACTACCAAACTGACAACAACATTGTTAACTATTCCACTGCTGATTTGAGCAGAAACGTTGCATTGTAATGTGCGTATCTCACAACTCCCAATTAAATCCTCAGATACCAAAAGCCCCCCAACTGCCCCCAGTTCAACTGCTAACATGCTCCAGCCCATGCCACCCCCTCTCCCGATTGCTCCTGCTAAACACTTATGCCTTTTTTGTTACAAAATTCTGCAGCACACTGAAAATGAAGGGCCATATTCTTGGCTAGTGTAAATCGGTGCCTCTCTTGACTGACGTCAGCTGAAAATTTGGGCTTAAAATTATAGGGGCAGCATTTGATTAAATTGGCCAGAGGATTAGCTAGCACACTTTATCCTGTGCTGATTGCGTTAGCCTGTGCCATGTTTAGTTTAATAGAAACCTTATTATTTCAGTGTATCCGATGTTGCTCTGGGATTTCCAGTTTCCTGCAGGATTTAGGGCCTTTTGCTGCAGGATTTGGGGGCTAGTTTGCTGCAGATACATGGGGCCTTTCTCCACTAGGGCGAATGCCCTCTCTGCCTGTGAATGTCAGAGAACATACAGCATGTGAGTATGGTTTCAAGTCTGTATCTGGGACACCTGTAGGGGTTGGATCTGGAGTTTTCAGTCGGCAGGTTAGAAGGATGGAGCTCAACTGCGAAATTTGGAAACAAATTTACATTGAGATTTCAGAGGCCATCAAAACTGCTTTGAGCATGTCTGTCTCCAGTATATGTGTGGCTAGAAGCCACTGGTGAGCCTCCAGTACAGGTCTCCATCTGTGTCTGATCCACAGAGGACCTGTCTGCTACTGCCCCAGCTAAGTTCTAGCTTGGGTGGGACTTATTCCACAAAACGATTTGCCGTCGGAGAGCGTTGATTCGTCAGAACCGAAACGTCCCACAGGAAGGTGTCAAGTCCGCCGAATTTTTCCATTTAGAAAAAAATAGAGATGAAAACGTTTTGAAAATGTCAAAGTGCCCCTTTTCGCCAGCCTCGGAACGGAACGCTTCCGGCTTTCAGCTCAAAAGGACGTTTCCTTTGGCCGCTAAGCTTATTGTCTAGTTTTAACATTTAAAAGGTCAACATTGAAAAAAAATGTTTCAAATTTACCAAAACAAAATATCCGCCAAGAAGATTTCGGGGGAGGGGGAAGGGGGGGGGAAGAGAACTGGGTTTGCAAATAATTGTTGAGATTTGGGGATTTGGTTCCAATTCGGGACAGGAAAAGTTTGAAACTGCAAGTTTTCCCTGAGGATGGGAAATCCCCATCAGCTGTAGACCCCCAGGGGTCATCTTTAGCCCAGGCTGCTCCTGCTTTTAGCTCTGGAAGTCCCTAGGGTCTCCCAGCCAGTGCCACACCCGGCTCCCTGTGCCTATGGCCGCACAAGCAGAGTGCTGCCCCCTGCTGACCAAATGCACAAACTGCTGGGCTGTGGTTTCCTCGACAGGGGGTTGTCTTAGTAAGTTCTAGCTCAGTGATACTCAGACCTCCAGGGTTCAGGAGCCAAATTAGCGACCAGCAGCACCCAACAGAGCCACAGGAGTGTGAATTCATTGATCCATTTACTATATATATTTTATTCGCACCGCAAAATGACTAAGTAGTGAATAAAATAAGAATACAATTGGTTAATGACAATGTAAAGTCACCATGATGGGTTAATAATTAAATCACCCAGTGTTTTACTATCCTGCGCTGCAAGAGACACATTAAAGAGCCACTTGCGGTTCCCAAGCCTCAGTCTGAGCATCACTGGGCTACATGGACAAAAAACGTGCACAAAAGGAACTGATTACTGGGGGGTGGGGGTGTGACCCCTCCATCCCTCCCGTGGGTATATTGCGTGCACGTGTGTTACCCCTCCATCCCCACTGTGGGCATATTGCGTGCATGGGCGGGTGGGTGGGTGTATTACCCCTCCATCCCCACCTTGGGTGTATTAAAGGCAGCCACAGGGAATGTTTTGCTTTAAAATCAGTTGCAGATCATGAAGTAGACCAGGGTCAGTTTCTCAGCTCGCTCCCCCACCTGCAGAGTTCTGGATGAAACCAGGCGGCCAGTCCCTTTGGGTTTTGCTCAATCAAAAGCCGATGGACGAGGGGACATTTGACTGAAACAACTTCTACCCCTTTATCAATTAGCCAGTGCGGAATATTCCTGAGCATTGGGTGGCATCTCATCCACTGTGGCCAAGCAGGAGGTCTCTACACCCTATGCATATTGTGACGCGATCAGTTTCCCTCCTTCACGTAACCCAGTTCCTGCATGTGTCTCTGAGCTGCATCCTCCCTGACAATCCAGGCTGTAGCTCAGAGGTTCTCAATCGTTTCCATAGCAGGACCCTCCCCACACATATCCTTCCCTAGGGGGAGCCCGGGCTTGGTTCTGGGGCTGCCCAGATGCCAGGGTGATGGTGGTCATAGATCTATGTAGCCAGGTTCTGCATTTAGCAATGTGGGAAGGGCAGGTAGGTCATGACCCTCCCCTGGTTGTCTTTGGGGTATCCAGGGCCTTGCAGTCCACAGACAGATGTGTGTAACTGTGCCCACCAGTCCTCCCGATTCCCAGCTGTCTCTGCGGGAGCACTGACCCAACTCCATTCTAGGAGTCGCCCTCTGCCTTCATGCCCTCCTGGGGCTCTGTTCCCCTATGTCTGGAGGCTGGGAGTCAGGACTCCTGCGGTCCATTCCCAGTCCTAGGAGGAAATGTAGGCCGACGGTTAGAGCCGACGAAGAGGAGGCAGGACGCCTGGGTTCTCATCCCAGCTCCAGTGCTTAGAGCGGGAGGCATGAGACCAGAGTGAGATCCCCTTGTGCCACAGGTAGGGGAGAGAAGCTGCAGCGTGGGTGCTGTTGCGGATCAGAACCTGCTTAACGCAAGCTGGTTTCTGCAGCTGCCCCGACACAGCGGTGATGGGGGCCTATAAGTACAGAGCTAGCCCGAGAATTGTGTCGGGCAGGCCAGGCCTCAGAGCACCGCTGGGGGTGGCGAGGCAGCTCACTCATTCCATCCAAGCGCTGGTGACGCCCAGAGAAGACGCCAGGCACCAGCTGGTGACGCCAGGGCGAAAGTCCAGGCACCAGCTGCTGCTTCCAGGGACCATTCCAGCCCCAGGCAGGCATCCGGGCACACGGTCTCCACCCTCTTCAGAGGGGAGCTAACAAGACGGATCCAGGCAGCCGCCGACTCAGGGGGAAGCTTGGATCCAAACAGACGTTTCAGTCCAGCTTTAAATCCTTTCCACTAAGGGTGAGATTTCCAGAAGTTCCTGACAAGGCACCTAATTCCCATTGGCTTTCAAGGGGAATTAGGTCCCTAACTCAGCACCGAGGCCCTTTGAAAATACCCCTCTCCCTAGCATATGTGGGGTTATTATCTCAGCAGATGCTATGCAGTCGCCACCAGAGCTCCTGACCCGCCGTGCAAGGGACAAGCGGAAATAATGCAGTGCCCCAGAGCTCAACGCTATTTGCGATCTAGACAGGAATCCCCTTCCCCCATCCCACCCAGGGCGGAAATGCTGCCAGTTCTGGGGAGGAGTGCGGCAGCACCCCTGCGCAGCCATTTAGGGCAGGACGCAAAGAGGAAGCATGTGATCAACGCAGCTCAAAAAGGTGGGCAGGACAAAAGTGACCGGGGCTCGTTGATGAATACCAGGAATCGGGCCTGCAGCGTCAGGCCTTCCCCGTGTGCAGCATCCCCTTTCGGGGCTGGGGGAAGTGACTCCTCTGCATAGAGCTCGTGTAGGAGCTTCAGGGGCCCAGTGGGCTGAAAGCCCATAGGCGAAGCGTAGAGCGACTGCTCCCTGTTAGAAATGGAGCTGGGTGTATTTACACAGGCCCCTGCAGCGGAGATGGGCTGTGTGTTAGGTTAGGGCATGGTCCAGCCTTCTGATCAGCTGATTGCTGGACAATATTGCCAAAGGCAGGCAGAGGACTCTCACGCTCCGCCATGCATATTCATATGCTCTGCCGATCCCTCGCACCTCAGACCCGTCTCTGAGCTAGGCAGGATTCCTGGGTCCACCTCCCCATCCCACGAGGGAATGCTGTCTAATGGTTAGAGCAGAGGAACTCAGCATCAGGATGCCCAAGTTATTATCCCAATGCGGCAAGGGGAGCGCTGTCTAATGGCTAGAGCGGGGAACTGGGTGTCAAGACGCCTGGCTCTGCCACTGACTCACTGCATAGCCTTTGGAGAGCTGCGGCCCTGCTCAGTGCCTCAGTTTCCCCACCTGCACCATAGGGCTAATGACCCTGACCCACCCACAGGACTGAGAGGCTAATGTGTGAACACCTACCAGCTCTGCTCTAGATCACAAAACCCTCCCCAATTTAGCGAACGAGGGGAGGGGGGGGTGGAACCCCTCTGAGCCGAAGTGAGTCATGTTTGTGAGTGTGGTCACCATTCCACCCCAAAGGTGGCGAGACTTGTATTGGCGAGGCCACCGGCTGTCTCTGCCTTGGGCAGCGTCTGATCTCCTCCCTCCACCCCCGGTCCACACCCCTCTCTGCCGAGCTCTGCCTTTCTGCTGGCCAGGGTGCTCCTGTCTCCACTCGGGGGTGGCGGGCGAGGCGGAGAGACGGGAACGGAGAAGAACTCGGTTGGGGGAAATAATTCCAGCCTCCCAGCTGGGGGTGTCAGGGGAATCTCTTGGTCTTCACATAGCAGTGAATAAAAGCCCAACATAGCTCAGCCCGGCTCGCACCTGAGTCTTCTTGGGGATGGGGGTTATTCTGCCACCTAGGGGCCTTGCATTGGAACAGAAGGTCTTGGGGAAAGGCCACTGGTCCATCAGTATCCTCCTGCTTCTTCCCTATGCCAGATACGATAACCGGTCCATCTCTTCCTGTATCCCTCCTCCCGCTGCACCAGATCAAACCCATCCAATCCTTAGACCCCACTGGGGGGAGGGATAGCTCAGTGGTTTGAGCAGTGGCCTGCTAAACCCACGGTTGTGAGCTCAATCCTTGAGGGGGCCATTTAGGGATCTGGGGCAAAAATTGGGGATTGGTCCTGCTTTGAGCAGGGGGTTGGACTAGATGACCTCCTGAGGTCCCTTCCAACCCTGATAGTCTAGGATTCTATGATCTCCTCCCTATGCTGGCTTAGATAACTGGTCCATTGATTCCCGTATCCTCTCTCATGCTGCACCAAATCAGAGCACTGCTCCCTCTAGTCAAGCATCCCTCCACCTGCCACGCCAGACCCCCATCACCGGTGCATCCAGGCCAGTGTCCCTGCTCCAGCAGCAGCCAACATCCAGTGTTTCAGAGGAAGGTTTAAATTGCCCTGGGCCTACCGTACACAGCTATATACATGGGGATAAGAGGCAAACCCTGGCTGACCCCAGCATGTGTCCTACTTAGGTCCTGAAGCACACTGGTTCCCCAAGCCGTTAGCACAGCTGGCATGGCTAGCAGTGGGATCCCTGTGTACTAGGTCTCCAAACGTCTGCGGGAGGAGGAGCACGCAGCGTGCGCGTCTCCTCTGCAACATGCTGCAGCAACCGTGGGCAATTCTGCACAGCACAGCTCTGGGAAACAAACGCAACCCCCCCAGAAAAATAACCCCATCCTAGAACGATCCAGCCCTCATGGGAAAGTCTCCGCTCCTGGCAGGAGGCCTGCCACACGAGATGTAGATGGAATAGCGCCTCTCTTGCCTTGTCCATGCCTGCGATGCTACTCCCTAATGCACAACCCACCTACCACGCTGCTTTCGCTCCCCACCAGGGTGTCCCGATTGCTGGGCCAGCGTCTTTGTCCCGCTTCCCTCCCACACAGCTGTTCATCCTCGGCTCAACCCACTCATCTGGAGCAAGAGGCAGAGAGGAAAGGGAATGCTAAGAAGTGGAAAATCCAGGGCTTCTGTCTCCGCCTGGATCCCCGCTCCCTTTCGCCTGCCTAGCAGTGGCATTCCCACGTGCTGTGGCCTATGGCTGGACCTCCTTGGGCTGCAAGCTCATTGCCTCTGTGTAGCGAAGCGAAGCCTCACTGGTGTGGCACCTCCTGCTGGTCATCCTGGGAATTAGCTTTCCAGCAGATGGAGCGCCTCCTTCTGCCAGTGGCTTGCCTGCCTTGGGCCCCCATGTCCCTCCCGGACTCTGGTGCCCCTTTTCCTCAGGGTTCTGCCCTCTGCAGTACCCCCACTCTGAGCCTCCCCTCCCAGGGGAACCCCAACCCTCTATCCCCACCTTGCCTCAGTGGCTACTGCCAGTCATCATCTAGCCCCCACTCACTGGAGCAGACTGCAGTCTATAAACCACTCATCACTGGCAAGGGGGTTTTGGACCCACTGCCTTTCCCTGCAACCCAGTACCTCTCTGGGCCTTCCTGTCAGGCCGCAGCCTGAGAGGTCGCCAGGCCTGAGCTCCCCAGCACAGCTCTGTCCGCAGTACCCTTTGCTCCTTCAGGCAGCTAAGTCCACCTCTCTCCAAAGCTAGAGAGAGACTCAGCTCCTGGCTCACAGCCCTTTTATAGGGCCAGCTGTGGCCTGATTGGCGTGTGGCCCCAGCTGTGGCTGCTTCCCCAATCAGCCTTTCACAGCCGCAGCCCTCCCCAGGGCTGCTTTTAGCCCTTGTTCTACTGGAGTGGGGCAGCTGCCCCACTACACTCTGCTAGGCAGGGGTTCTCGTGCTTGGCTGGGAGACCCAGGAATCTATCGGCCTCATGGAGAGGGGGATTAACCACACCGACAGGAACCCCCCCTTCTGTGGATGTAAGAAGTGTCGACATGGCAGCAGCATAGCTGTAAAATAGTCGCACATACCCCTAGGGTGAGGCACAAAGCTAAGGCCTGGATTGCCTGAGGCTAATAAACCCAAGGCACTATTTCCTGAGCGGTAGGTTACTGGGAAGCCTGGTGCCCTGTCCTGATTCCAACTTGAATAATTCCATTCGGACTCTCAAAAGCCCCTCCTGCTGTTTCATTTGTATGCAGGATTCTTTTTCGTTTTCTGCCCTACATCCTCACCTCTCGCTGGTGAGCACGACTGAGCGCCTGAGGCATTCCACCCCAGGGGCGGCTGCATTTCAACACTGGGTGAGCGATCCCTGGGCCGCATGGCTGGGAGGCTGTTAAAGAGCTGCAGCATTCCACCCCAGAGGTGGCTGCATTTCAGTGTCTGCCAAGCCCTTTGGAACAGATGGTACCGCACGAAAGTCCGCATTGATTGGTATCGTCCATCTGGGGCTCCTACAGGAAGCCCTGACTGGCTCTTTGCATTATCCAGAAAGGATTTGGGTGGGAACGGGGAGACAAACGCACCCACATATAATGACTAAAATCCGTACCCACCCCTCCCATCACTGCATGTCCCTTCCAGGACCAATAAGGCCCTTATCTGCCGCCTCCAGCATGGGACACGCCATTCCTCTCTCTTGGAATCATGCTGCCATCTGGTGGCTCTAACTGAGGTTGCTACATCCCGAACACCGTGCATGGTTTCAATGCAACCCTATTGTTTGCATCTCAAATTTTCCATCCCCCCCCCCCCCCGGCTATTTGAAGTCAGGCCCGTTTGGGAGGGACTCCACCAGCCATGGCCACGAAGAGGGGCTCGCAGACAGTAGCTGAGCAGCAGCAGAAAGGACGTCAGTTGCCAAGGAGTGTCACAAGTTCTTGGGGCTTAGATGGGGATCGGAGCTTTCCCGTAGGTCATGATGTCCGAATCTAGGACGCTGGCTCTGGCCTGCTCTAAGTTGTCCCTAGGGGTGGATCCATTCATGTGAATATTGATGTTACACTGAAATCCACCGATATTTCATCTCGTCAATACAGCTTAGCAGCCACACAAATGCCTCCCCCCCCCCCCCAACTCGGTATGTTAGCTCTTGCCAAGAACCTGGTGTCGACACAGCTTGGAGATGGAAGGGGATTTTAACCCTCACTATGTACAGCCATCGATATGGGATCCAGCAGGAAATGGGACTCATACGAATGACCTGACGCAGAATGAATTGGTTCAGGGGCAGAGACTGACTCAGAGGGCTGAGATTGGAGCTTCCCCACATCTGGGGGCTGCGTGGATCCAGGGGTTCAGTTCTGCCTGTTATGGAGATTGGGGACTGGCCTCCAGGCTGGCCCTGGCTTATCTGGAGGGGCTGTTTCCATAACGAATATGTGTGTGCCTGGACGTCGATAGCTGGAAGTCAACACTTTGCTGTAGTGTGGGAAGGTGGCTAAATTTCATCTCCATTTTGTAGATGGGGAAACTGAGGCCTCTTAGGCTAAATCCACCCCTGGGATAACACTTCTGTGGTCCCAGAGTAATGAGGGGGCTTCCCCAGGGCCACACAGTGAGTCTGTGACAGAGCCAGAATAAAAACCAGGAGGGGTCCTGGTTCCCAGCCCCCTGCTCGGGCCAATAGACCATGGTCTGGTGTAAACAGAGGAAGGGAGGGGAGAATTATCCCTGGGGAAATTGAGGCAGGGGAAGAATGATGCATGCAGTGGAGTGGTTTTGGTAGGGTCTCTCTTGTTTTCAGTGCACTGCTCTGTGTTTATATTAGCAAAGGCCAGTCTGAGGAGTGCCCCGGGGCTGTTGGAGCCGGGGGATGAGATTTGGGACAATCTTTCTTCCCCAGAGGGGTTCATCCCACAGCCTGGGACTGGCCCCTGGGAAAGCTCCATCTTCCACACAGAGCTTTCCCCTGCCGGTAGAAAGTTCTGCTGGGCCTGCCAGAGGTGCTGGAACTAGGGGTGCCGGGGGTGCTGTAGCACCCACCGACTTGAAATGGTTTCCACTACATAGAGGATTTACAGTTTGGTTCAATGGCTCTCAGCCCCCCCGCCCCCACTATAAAAATTGTTCCAGCCCCCTGGGGCCTGCGGAGCAGAGCTGGCAACCCCAGCCCCGAGATTCAGGCTCTCTGAGCTCCGCCGTGAAGCTACGGACATTGCTAACAGGGGAGGTGCCAGAATGGAGCTGGGGGGAAAGCCCAGAGACAGCAGGGGTGGCCCTCACCTCTGCACTCCCAGCCTCCTTTATGTTCCACGCATAAGCCATTTTCCCTGAGCTGTTCCGTTCTGCCCAGGAACAGCTGCCGGGACAGAGGCGTGAACCCTTCGCTCAGCTATCTCACAGCTCCGCTCCCTGCCCGATCTGGGAGCGGACTCCCTATCCCATGCCCATTGCACTCGACCTTGTATCTTCCAAAGCGCCGCTCACCGGTTTGGGGAACACGGCTGCAATTCCCTTTGCGCCGGCCCATCTCTCTCTTTCCAGAGTCACAGGGCAGAGCACCGATCTGAGAAATACAGCTTGTTCTCTCACTGCACCGGGGCCTGATTCTCCTCCCCCCGGCCTCCGAGTGTCGTAGATTCCCAGGCTGGGAGGGACCACTGTAATCTAGTCTGACCTCCTGGATAACATGCCCTGAAATCATTCTTGGGGGGAACAGATCTTTTAGGAAAAACAACCCGTCTTGAAAACCATCCCAGCTGCTTCAACGGGAGCATACTTCAAAAGCATGCGGCTGCAGGTGGGGAAACACCTGAACAGGCTGGACCGTGTGTGTCCTCTGCTTATGAGGCCTGATGAGCATCCGCACAGGAGATAAATAGCAGCATGTGTCAAAGAAGCAGCAAGTGTCTGCTCTCGTCTGCCCCTGTGACCCCCCCAAACTGGATATAGACCTTGCGAGAGCCAGCCCAACCTGCTGATCCAACCAGCTGCCCAGTGCTGTACTGAGCCCAATGGGCCTGTGACAAGCCCGAGCCAGAAGCGACAGAGAAATGAACGGGATTCTCTTCTCGCAGTGTCTCTGCCCGGTGGCCGCAGCGCACGGTAAATTGGATCTTACAGGGAGGCGTTATTCTGCAGCTGGGCTGGTGTTCGGGGCTGGGAGAGCGTAGGATGAGATGGGGACAGGGTTGATGATGCCCCTGATCAGTGAGCATGGAATCAGGGGACTGGTATTGCTGGCCCATCAATAAAACGGGGGACGCTGGGGGGTTAGGCTGGGAGTATTGCTGGCCCATCAATAAAACGGGGGACGCTGGGGGGTTAGGCTGGGAGCAGCTCACCCCAATGGACAGAGCAGCGCATGGGGTTTAATAACGTTTCACTTGCCCAGCGGAACCTGCATTCAGCTTCGCTCTTTGCAAAAAAACCACCCTCCACTGGCTTGCTGATCAGACGGCCCCTTGGCTACCATCACGGCTGAATCCAGACTCCAGCGCTTATGGTCCAGTGCAACCCCCCGTCACTGTGCCTCCTCTGAGGAGTGTGCTGCAATAGAGACAGAGTTGTCCAGTGGTTAGAGTGAGGGGTACTGGGAGGCAAGACTTCGGGGCTTCTACATGTATCTCTAGGAAGCGGCATGGTCTAGCACTGGCTGCAAACAACCAGGAGTCAGGACTCCTGGGTCCTATTCCCAGTTCTGATGCTGGTTTGCCAGGTGATCATGGTCAAGTGGCTTCCTTCATACTTTAATCCAACAGGAAGGCCAGGCCCTGGAGATCAGAACCCTGGCATTGTACCAGGCCCACGGCGGGCTGGGCCGGGGGCTCCAGGGCGGGTCACTCAGTCCAGGCACTGATGCTGACTCCAGTCCCGGGGCCCATGCTCTTGTTGTGCCTTGATGGAGCCTGGCCCGGCTGGCTGCCGATCCAGGTGGCTCAGGGTCCCTGAGGCAGGGGCAGGGAGGAGAACTCACTCCCAGCACCTGTTCTGCGCCGTTCCTCTCACATGTCTGTCCGCGGCATCCCCTGCACTGGGCCAAGCGCTGTCGCCATAGTAAAGGGACGGTACTGGGGCCAGCTCCCATTTACTCCCTCCGTACACAGCTCTGTTGATACCCCTCAGTCCTGGCCCAGAGGCTCCCCACCCTCTGCTATTCCAGCCCTGGGATCCCCCTGTACGCAGCTCTGCCTCTGCTCCTCAAATCCTGACTCACAGCCGCCCCGCCTTTCACTCCTAGGCTTTCCTGACCTGCTGTCTCTCTCTTAATCCAGTCCTGGGATTTCCTCCCCTGACCCCCTCACTGTGTTGATGCAGCCTCATTCCCAGCCTGCAGCCTCCTTCGCTCCTGGGCTCTCTGAGGAGAGATTGCACAGCTGGAGCGATAGGCGCAGCAGTTTGGGGCATGTGCAGGAGTGGGACTGGGCGAGAGAGACCCACCAAACTCGCAACACAAGTGAGCTGCGCCCGACTGTGTCCAGTCTATGCCTCAGTTTCCCCATCTGGACAAGGGGGGTAATGCTATTCAGCCAGCTTTGTAAAGTGCTATGAGATCACAGGGCACCTACAAATGGTTAACATTTAACCATCGGATGGCTCGGCAAGGGATGTGGTGGCCTCTCCCGTCACGGCATGTCTTTAAATCACGACTGGGCATCTCGTTTGAAGCCGACGCCATGGGCTTGGCGCAGGAATCAGCAGGGGAGGTTCTCTGGCCTGGATTAAGCAGGAAGTCAGACGAGATGATCAGGAGAGTCCCGTCTGGCCTTCGATGTTACGAACGAGTGATACGTGCATTAGCAGGGGGCACACGCCAGACATTATTACAGCCCTGCCTCAATCGAGATCCAGGCCCTGTACAGCCACCTGGCGAGAGACAGTCCCTGCCGCAAAGTGCCTACAATCTAAGCAAAGAAGACAGTCACAGGGGAAACAAAAAGGAACTTGTCCCAGAGCTAGGAATAGTACCCAGGCAGTCTAGCTCAGAGAGCAGGACCCAACGCGCCCACCCGTACGATCTCCCTTCCCCCGGCTCTGAATGCATTGTCTAGAATGCCGCTGGAGATGCCAGTGCCAAGTTAGAACCGATTGGCAGTGTTTTTCGTGCTATCAATGGCCGATTCATTTCATTATGGCTGCAGGGTCTGTGCCAGTCACACCACCGGCTTTCAAATCAATAGCAAACGAATACAAAGACTTTGCCCTTCTGTGGATCCTTTCAGAGAAGAGCTGAGGAAGAGATGTCCATTTCAGTGCACCAAGTTCTTGCTTATTCAAGCTCCCACAGCTCATCCCGCAATAGCGGGTGTCACAGAGTGTGGGGGAGTCCAGGCCCTGCACCCCTCTTCCTGGGATTCACTGAGACTCTCAGTCAGCCAGTAAAACAGAAGGTTTATTGGACAACAGGAACACAGGCTAAAACAGAGCTTGTGGGTACAACCAGGACCCCTCAGTCAAGTCCTTCTGGGGGAGCAGGGAGCTTAGACCCCAGCCCTGGGGTTCCCTGCGTTCCACCACCCAGCACCAAACTGAAACTAAACACCCCCACCCGCCACATTCCCAGGTCAACACTCCCCCCTCGCTGCTGCGTCACATCGTCACAGGGGGTGTTAACCCCCATTATCCTGGCCACGTGCCATTCCTCCTCCCTACACCTTTCAGCTGGACACAGCCTTCCTCTTCCTTGCAGTCCTAAATGATTGTGTAGTGTTGCTGAGTGACATTAAATAGCTGCCACACCCAACCCCAGAGGTGGCTGCATTTCAGGGGTGGGTGAAGCTGTCCCTTACACACCTCACCCTCAGGTGGCTGAGATGAAAATCCTGATTACGTAGCATTTTGTTAAGTGCTTTGATGCTCCAAGGTCAGGTTCTAGGAAAGGGGCAAAAAGGCTGGATTGGGAGCCGAGGAGTCCTGAGTTCTGGTCTCAGATCTGCCACTGATGTGCTATGTGAATGGGACGCTGCCTGTCTGTGCCTCGGTTTCCCCAGATTTAAGAACAGGGATGATGCTCAGACCATGAGGCTTAATTCCTCAGTGTTTGTAAAGTACTTTGAAACTGCTGTACTGAAGGGCAAAGATTCATGAACCATTTGTCTTAGCACGTGCAGGTTCTCTGGCCTCTTCCCGACAGCTGATCGGATAGCGTCCCGTGTCCCAAGATGCTTGTGGACAGGAAGATGGGCTGCCGATGCTAACACGGGAGGTTTAATCTGCCAGAAACAGGGGCCGAAGGGCAGAGCCAAAAAAAAATCAATCCTGCTAATTAAGACAGCACTGAGCACCACCAGGGAGAACCCAGGGTGAGAGCAGGCTATGGCGAGCTGTGTTTGGTAGCTCAGGGGATTGGGATCCTGTCGGTTGCTGGTTCAAATGCAGGTGAAGTCGAAAGATTAATTTTTGGGGCATGTGACTGTTTAGCCTCCCAAGGACCGAAATGCTTCAGTCTAACCCTCCTGATGGGCTCCCCAGAGGGGTAACTGGGTGCAATTCAAAGCCTGTGCTATGCAGATCAGACTAAGTGAGCTAACAGGCCCTTCTGACCTTGAGCTCTAAGGGTGCATCTCCTCAGCCCATGGCAGCAAGCCAACGGGCTCACGCGGCCATGCAGATGCTGCAGCTTGAGGTCCCACTTTGGAGCATGAGCTGTACCTTCAAAGCACTGACTAGGCAGCTGCTTTTAGCAGGAGCCCCAGTCTGGCAAGCTGGGCTCGGAGGCGGGCTGCTGCTGGCTGTGTCCCCTTTGAACCGTTCTGGCTTTAAGGCCAGCCGGGCTCAGCAGATCCTCCAGTCTGACCTGCTGCCTGAGAACCTCGCCCAGCGATTCCTGCGTCAAGCCCCCCGGCTCACGGGTTTCTTACTGACAGTCACCTGGTCCTGAGTTAAAGCCTCCAAGTGCTGGCCCATCCACCTTGTCTTTTGGGAATCCAGCCGCGAGTTACCCTCCCTCTGACAAATACGCGGCATCTCTGAGCTTGAATTGTTCTGCAAACCCCTCCCTGGGCTGCGGTGGCGCTCAGCCGACGAATTAGCCAGCACGACCGGCAGCATCGGGCCTACGGGGAGCGAACTTGCTGCGTCAGCCACTAACATGACCCCTTAGCATGGCCTCAGGCTCGCCCCATGCAAGAATTGGCAGCTCCTAAGCAGGGTCCGTCTTTTTGTTCTGTGATTGTACAGTGCCTAGCGTAAAGGGGCCCGGCCCATGACTCCTAGGTGCTACAGTAAGACAAATAATAAATAATAATAAAATCGCCCGCCTATGTGGCTGTGCAGCACCCAACTATTAATTATTTTTTTTTTTTTGTATTAATAATAAAAACACTTTTTAAAAAGCCAGTGGAAAATAAGGCAGAAATACTAGGAAGGGAGATGCTGTCAGATCAATGGTGCATCTGGCCCAACACCCGGGGCCTGGGGCCAGCTGCTTCTGAGGAGCGCTGGTTGCAATTTTACAAGCAAAACCAAATTTTCATTTTTTAAAAATGGCCTTTTTACAGAAGTGAAACTGTGCTGGGTTTTTTTCATTTTTTTTTTAAACTTCTCAAATTTTTTTGGGCAAATCCCCGGAACAAATTAAAAAAAATCATTTTTTTCTTCCTCCGCCTTCATTTCTGAGTGCCAAAATGGAGGTGCAGGATGGAGCGGGGCAGAGAGACAGGAAAGAATAAAATCTAACCTCCTCGCCCCTTTTTGAAACTGAAAATGTCCTAGAAAAGGATATGCCTGAAATGTCAACTGCACTTTTGGTGCCAGATTTCCACCAGACGAACAACTCTGTCTTTTTAAAACAACAGGCAGATTTTGAAATTTTCAAAACCTTCCCCCCAGCAATACATTACCCATTTTTAGTCCAGCAGAGACAGGTGAAGAGAATGCTGCACTCGCATCACCAGCTTCAGACATTCCAACATCATGATTCAGGACCCTTAAAAAAAAATCATTCATCATCACTAACCTTCTTGGTTTTTTTTAATTCGCCTTCTGGATTTGGAGCATTTAGGGGTCAGGTTTGCAAGCGTTTCTCTGCAACTCTCACAGCTAGAAATGTTTATGTTTTAGCAAAAGCTCATGCTGCACCTCACATCACAGTCTCACATCATCACATGACTCCAGGAGCTGGGGATGTATGGAAAAGTCCAAATGTTAACAATGATCCTGCACAACAAATGTAGCTGTTGCAGAAAAATCTCTCTGGGAGGAAGTGAAGAGCCCTGATCTAGCATTTGTCAAAGCACTTTACAAAGGAGGGCAGCATTCTTACCTCCACTTTACAGATGGGGAAACTGAGGCACAGAACAGGGAAGTGACTTACCCCAGCAGCAGAGCCAGGAATAGAACCCATCTCTCCTGAATCATAGCCTAGTGCTCTCTACCCTAGAGGTTAGTTTATTCTCTGAAGTAGATGGATTTAGAGCCCTGCTGAATTCCCTCTCGTTTATAACTCACTAACCGAGGGGCTGTTGCCCCATAACTATCCCCCGGGGGCATTTCTTGCACCTGCCTCTGAAGCAGTGGGTCCAGTCTGGGAATTCCTTTGGTGCTTGGATGCCCCCCCTTAGCTCCAGACTCCTTGAGCCAAGAAGCACGTCCCCATTGCACGGGGCCCTGCCAGCCCATCGATAAATAACGTCCCGAGCGCCGCTTTCCAGCTCAGCCTCTGCAGCGGGCCCGGGCCCTGCGATTTCCATCCACCCAAGCGCCGCTCAGCGGGCATCTCTCGGGGGGTAACAGCCTCCCGCCCCGCGTAGCCGGCTGGGGAGCGGTGCACCTTTAAATAGCCGGGAGAGGGGAAGGTGGAGGAGGGGAGGGGTGAAGCAGCGACGGAAGACAACCTGGCACCGCAGTGACCTCCAGGAGCCGCAGGAGCGGGTCCGGAGCGCTGGGCCATTATCCGCCGGGGCGCCGCGGGACCCGGAGAGGGGAGGTCCAGCCTCGCGGCGCAGGGCTTTGCCAAGGAGCCGGGGGGCGGCGCTGGGAAGGAGCCAAGCAGCGCGGGGAACTCTCTTCCCCCGCCCCCGCTGGAAGGATCTTTCTGCAGCGTGCCCGGGGCTGCAGGGGCGGCAAGCGCCCAGGGATGGTAAGGGAAGCGCCACCCGCGCCGGGGTGCAGGGCGGCTCCGAGACAGGGCAGAGGGAAGCCGGGCAAAGGAAGGAGGCACAAATGGATCGCGCTGTGCTCCGAGCCCGGGGGAAGCGGGAGCAGGTGTTTGGGGGGGTTAGAGGCAAGCTGCGCGTTTGAATGGAGAGATCTGTTTCCTAGGATGTGGCCTTATGTCCCCGTCAGAGCCCCCATCATCTGATGGGACTTTTCAAATTAGCCCAGTCCCCTTGGGGACTGGTCCCCTCCGGCTTGCCCTGTGCCTTCCTCTACATCACCGCAGCAAGGGGCGGGGGGGTGAAACACCATCAGGCCAGGCCAGCACGGGACCAGCTCCCCCGCTCCTGACCCACCGCCTCAGGTGCCAGATGGCAGAGACTCGGCCCCTGGGAAATGGCCCTTGGGTCTTCCAAAAGCCGGCTAAAGCCAGGTCCAGACTAGCTCCTGGGACCGGCCAGTGGGTTAGTGTGTGGCAGCGAAAGACAGCAAGGAGGGGGGGTGCAGAGACCTCTCCGGCAAAGACCCCACCGTTCCCTCTGTGATGGATTGAGCCCGTCATCCCCGGGGGAGGGGGGGCAGGAGACGGGACAGGGGTAATGGATCCATGGGGTTATTGAGTCCAGTGCCAGACGGGCCCATGGGGGCCACCCTAGTCTGACCCCCCTCCTCGTATAACACAGACGGACGGCAGTGGGATGGAGGGGACCGGGCTGCGATCGGGGGCCGTGGCCGTGTGTGCGTTAGCCTGGCCACGTCCGGGCTGGGTTCTCCAGCAGGTGTGACCCACAGGGCTAGATCTGGGCCTGGGGGTGGGGGGGAGAGGCAAGGGGGTGCAGCGATGCTGCCGGAGGGGAAGGGGTTAAACGGCGGACCTCCCTCGGCTGTCCGCTGGGCGCCCTCACTGTTTAATGACTTCCTTGCTTTGCCGCTGGTACCTTCCTCCCGGAGCAGAGAGGGGGGACCCAGGGCAGATCCCCAACCCCAGCTGCCAGCTTCCCTTATTCTCAGTGGCAGCCCCCGCCCCCCAGGAATCAAGGAATTGGGCTCCCCTCCTGAAGTGCCACAGGGGGGCCGTGGCTCAGGGCAGAGTGGGGCGGGGGGGAGCTGAGGACATGCCCCCCCCCCCCGCCCAAGGGAGGGGAGTCAGTGCGGTCCATCCCACTCCCCTCCCAGGGCTGGGCACAGAACCCAGGAGTCCTGATGCCCCAGTCCCCTTTGTTCGAGATCCCACTCCCCTCCCCTACAGCTTGGAGTAGAAGCTCCAACAGCCCAGACTCCCAGCCCCCCCCCCCCCGCACCCACCCACTCTGTAAAGCAGCGGGAGGTTCAGAGCAGGACAGGGGCTGGAGGGGAAGTTTGTCCAGCTCTGAGAAAGCCAGGCTTGCCAGCTGTCATGTTCTCCTCCTCCCAAGACCGGATGAGGCAAAAAAAATGCACCAGGTACCAGTAAAAATAAAACCAACCCCAAACACCCTTTGGAGCCGAATTACTCAGCAGCCCTCCTGGGCTCTGGCCCTCGGGGCCAACTCCAAGAGCCAAAGAGAAGCTACAGACAATTTTGCACCTGACTAGTGGCTTAAAGTATTAGCCTCCCAAATTGGTCCGTGGTTGCTATTATTTATATTGGAGTGGCACCTAGAGGCTTCATACCAAGATCAGGGCCCCATGGTGCTAGGTGCTTTATGTACACATAGCAGGAGACAGCCCCTGCCCCAAAGAGCTTACCGTCTATATATACAAGGGAAACCGAGGCACAGAGAGGGGCAGTGACTTCCCCAAGGTCACTAGCAAAGTCAGGACTAGAACCCAGGTCTCCCAAGACCCAGACCACTGCGCTTTCCGCTAGGCAACACTGCCTTCCCTCCAAGATTGCAGCTGTTTCCCCCTAATCCCAGCATTATTCAATGGCTGTAGCGAGGTACGGGGGAGGAGCTGGGTGTTAGATATATAACCGCTGGGAGGGGGTACAAAAGACCCCCAGGACAGCTGGGGTGACCCTGAGCCCATAAAACGGGCCAGCTGGCAAGGTAGCGGGCCACCTTCCAGATTTCCTGGGACAGCGACCTCAAACAAGGGATGATCCTGAGACAACCCGGACAGGTGGCAGCCCTGGGAAGGGGCTATAAATTTTGCTGGAGTCTGATGCCTGCTGAACAGAGCAGCAGTGAGTCCATGGCAATTCCTTCTTCTAAACACCAGAAGGAGACACAGGGGAGGCAGGAACTAGGTAGGCAGAGCTACCATGACAGGTGTCCTCGGTGGGGTGGCATCTGCTGAGGTCCCAGTGCAGGACGGTATCAGGTTAGCTAACTCGATTGAGGAACAGGTTGAAGCTAAACTGAAATAAGCGACTGTTAACTTAAAATAAGAACATCCAGAGAGAGGCCTGCACTGGTCTGACTCAGGTTTAAGGAACAATTGTAGTTTACCGGCGCAGCTGCCTCAAACAGACCAGGTCTAAGATGCACACCAGCAAATCAGTGTGAATGCAAGCTACAAGCTGAGGGGGTGGATGGGGTTGTGGTTTACACCCTCACCCTGTGGGGCAGTGTAACCTAGCGGATAGGGCACCAAAGTGGGACTCAGGAGACCCGGATTAATTCCCAGCCCTGCCCATGGCCTGCTGGATGACCGTGGGCAAGTCATTTCCCCTCCCTGTGCCTCAGTTTCCCCATGTGTGAAATGGGGATAATAATCTTGCCCTCCTTTGTCAAGCGCTTTGAGATCTACAGGATGAAACGTAGCCTGAATCCCCACCACAGGTCGGGCTCCCTGAGAGGACCGAGCTGCCCAGCTAAATTTTGGGGGTGGGGGGCATCCTGGCATCAGAAATATCACCCCTCCCCCACTCTACTCCAGCATCATCCCAAGGGGCCTGAGTGTAATGGAGAATCAGCCCCTCTCCCCCATCTTGACACATGCCCTTATTAGTGGCTCTAATTCCAAGGGAAATCCCAGGGGATTCCACGGGGGAAACCCCCTGGCGACAGCTCAGCCATGAGAATGTGGGACAGGTCTCTGTGCCAGGCCCCTGGTAGGCAGCTGCATTCCCTTCTCCAGGCTGCTGGAAATAGCTGCAGCCCTCTGCCTCTTATCACTGGCTCCTCTTTATTCTTCCCTGCCAGCAACTAATAAATCAGCTGCCAGCAAAGCCTCCCAGCAGCTGAGCTAAAAATAAAGTGGCTAGGACAGGTCACAGTGAGGTGGCTGTGGTAGGCATATTGGGACATGCTCGGAAGCAGGCTGGCATGCACAGGGCCTGCACCGGGGTCCGGCTTGGAATCCCACACGATATGTCTTGTCCTGCTGCTGCCCGGGCTGACCTGCGGTCTCCGAGGCTCAGGCTGGCACCTCCTGCCAACACTGAGCAGTGCCATCTGTTTGGCAATCTCTGAGGAGCTGCACCATGCGAGAACCCTGGGCCACGAGAGATGGGGAGCTGCTGGCAGCTGGGGAGCAGAGGATGGGGCACAAGATATTAGGGTGCTGCTGGCAGGCATGAGGAGCCATGGATGGGCACAGAGCGAGAGTGTTAGAGGAGCCGTGTTCCCTGGGAGCCACAGAAGATCCCCAGCACAGGGCAATAATTGATTAATGAGCCAGCAACAGCCAGGGCATAACAGGAATCTTTGTCACTCTGAGCCAGTCCCTCGGCTCCGATGGATGCTGGATTGATCTCACCTATAGATCGCCAGGATCTGGACGCGGTAGGGTGGTCAGTGACTTCTCAGCCATCAGAAGAGCAGTCCTCAGGGAACAGGCCCATGCTCCGAAAACCACTCTAGGGTCTGGAGCCTTTTGTCCTTAGAGCACCCATTCCCATCCAGGTTAGCAGTGGCTGGAGGATGAACCCATCGGGCGGGCCGCATGAGAGGAGTTTGGTGGGTCTCAGACCTGTGCCCAGGTGCCTGAAGTATCCCTCAGGGTAGGAAAGAGACAAGCCAGGGGCTGAGATGGACCCATACCAGAGCAGGGTCTGGCCTTAGCCTGGCCCTGTGGTTCTCTCTGGCACTCCAGTCCCTAGCCCAGGGTTGCTCAGCCTTGGGGACGCCAAGTTCCCCACCAGTTCCCACCTCACCAAAGCCACCACCGGCCCCTGTTCCCGTCAGTCCCAGAGGGCTGGTCCCGGGCACAGAGCTCTGCCACAGGGCGCTCATGCTCTGACCCCGTACCCAACAGGAGCGTTGACTGCCTGGGGGCCAGCTTATGACTCAGTGGTTGGTACCCTCTGCAGAGGGCCCAATCGAATGGGCTTTGGGGACTTTTGCCCCTTTGTGGCAGGTAGAAAAATAGCAGCTATCTAACACACTGGTCTCTTTTGGTCCATTCACAGATTCCTGGAAACAGAGGCCAGATCTTCAGGCCACTGGCTGTTCTGTCACATCCCAGGGGTGGGAGCGAGAGACTGACGCACACCATGTAAAGCACAGCTCGCCCCGCACACGTGTGTCTACACATTGCTCTGCAAGCGCCAGGGTGGGCTGGAATTCGCCCACGCGCATCCACCCAAGACGACACTGATACTATGCAAGAGAGGCAGTATCCTTAGATGTTGCTGGCTGCCAGGGAGTGAAAAGCGCTCGGGGGGACTCTTACCCTGTAACAGCCGTGGCTAAGGCCTAATCTGCACCCCAGAGAGCACCTGCGTTCGGAGGCACGGCCCGGAAGAGCTTGGCGGCTCCGTATTAAACTTCCACCCACCCCAGCAACGGATTGTCCTTAAGAGCTGAATTCAACTACAGGAGCATTTCTCCCATCTGGGGAGGTGACGGCCACCAAATTGAGCTGGCCAATGAGATGCAAGCTAGAGTTGTTACCTCGTCAGAACCAATCCTGATTGGCCGATCAGAGATTCACAGGTGCCTGTTCACGCCTGTGAATCTGGCCCACCTCTGGGGCTAGTGGAACCAGAGGAGCCTTCCCTATTGAGTCTCAGCAGCACAAGCCACGAGGGAGTTAACTGCTGCTCTGCAAAGAAGGAATAAAGTTCCCTGAGCCAGAAGAAGTTGGTTCTCGTTAAATCCAGAGCAGAAGCCGGGCAGCTCCAGTTTAGTGGAGTCTCCATCCAAGCAGCAAAACATGCTCAGGGTCTCCGAGCCCTGCCACAGTCTAGGAGGAGCTTGGCTTCCCGGGAACGAGCTGGATTCAGCCTCCTGGATCCCGGCTGCTCACATCTCTGTAAGGCTGTGGCAGATTCCGGGTGGGAATACCCAAGCCTCCGATATGAATGCCACTTTTCGCATGAAGGACAGTGAGCTGCTTGAGCCGGGGTCGCCCGCCGTGGGCAACCAGAGCCGTGGGCAGCCCTGGGAGGAGGTAGAGGTCTCGCCTGGTGGTGGAGCCAACGCCAGTCTGCCTAGCGAGGAGGTCTTCCTGCTGCCCACGTTCTCCACCGCCGCCAAGGTCCGGGTGGCCATCACCTTCTTCCTCTTCCTCTCCTCGGCCTGCTTCAACATCGCCGTGCTGTGGACCGTCACCCAGAAGTACCGCAAGAGGCCGCATGTCCGCATCCTCATTGTTAACCTGGCTGCGGCCGATCTGCTGGTGACCTTTGTGGTGATGCCCTTGGACGCAGCCTGGAACATCACAGTGCAGTGGTATGCGGGTGACCTGGCCTGCCGGGCCCTCATGTTCCTCAAGCTGGTGGCCATGTATGCCTCAGCCTTCATCACTGTGGTGATCAGCCTGGACCGCCAGGCAGCCATCTTGCACCCACTGAGCATGGGTGACGCCAAGAAGAAGAACAAGGCCATGCTGTGCGTGGCCTGGGCCCTGAGCGTGCTTCTGGCACTACCTCAGGTAAGTCATCATGGCAATGGTGCAGGTAGGGAGGGACTGTGGAATGGACCCCTGGGCAGGCTTCCCATGGCACAGCCTCCTTTTGCCATGGCATTTCTGATACTGCCAGGGTCTAGTTTAGGTAGAACAGGCCTCTGATGCACTGTGGTGTGGGGGTAATAGACTGGATGGGCCAATGACCTGATGTAGTATGAGCAGGATACAGGGGTACTAAACTAGATGGACCAGCTATAGGGATACAAGACGAGACAGGCCAATGGTTTGATGCTGTACAGCCAGGACACCAGCCTGCGGGCAATGGATCTGGGATGGGCAGAGGATGAGCTAGATGGACCAGTTGCCAGATACAGCATGGACTGGAAGTGGCCTAGATAGATGGATCTGGTATGGGTCAGAAGCAGGGATGCCGGAGCACTGGAACAATGGGTAGGAATACAAGGCTGGATGGCCAGTGCTGTGTCCATGGTGTAGCTCCTGTGGGGGTGCCGAGATCTAACTGTTTCTACGGGGTGGGGTGTCTCTTCCAGATGTTTGTCTTCCACGCAGTGAGCCGCTCCCAGCCCATCTACTTCATCCAGTGCGCCACGGTGGGCAGCTTCCAAGCCCACTGGCAGGAGACCCTCTACAACATGTTCACCTTCTCCTGCCTCTTCCTGCTGCCGTTGCTCATCATGGTGCTGTGCTACTCCCGCATCCTCATCGAGATCTCTGGCAAGATGAAGAGAGCTTGCGGTGAGCCCGGCCTGCCTCTTGCATCCCCCGGCCCTCGCCCGTGAGCTCCCAGAGTGCATGGACCCCACCCCTCCCATTCACTGCAGCAGGGGGTCTGCATGGGGGGACCAGTCTGTGTGGGGTGTGTGAGAGCATGTGTATGTGGAAGCGCATGCGTGTGTGTGGGAGCAAGTGCGTGTGTGTGTATATGTGGGAATGCATGCCTGTGAGCACGCATGTATGTGGGAGCACATGCATGTACATGTATGAGCATCTGTATGTAAGCATATGCATGCAGGTGTGTACATGGGAGCATGTGTGTGTACGTGGAAGCGTGTACATAGGTGCGAGCGTGTGCATACATTTGTATCTCCTTTGCCTTTCTCTCTGCATCCTTCTTGCCTTGATTTTTTTTCTCCATCCTCTCTGCCTTTTTTTCTCTTTCTCCTGAATCTCTCGCTCTTCCTCTCAACCAGCACTCTTTTCCCTCCTCTTTCCCCCATTTCTCTCCCACTCTGTCACCTTCCTTCCTTGGTCTCTCTCTCTCCTCCTCTTCTTCCTCTGTGTCTCTTCTCTCTCTTCATACCTCTACCTATCCATCCATCCCCACACATATCTTTCCATCCATCTTCCTCCTCTGCCTCTCCTGAGGGGAAAATCAATCCCAGCCCCTAGCTGCAGAGAACCGTCCGCTTCTTGTCCCCCGCACTCCGGCTGTGGCAGGCCCTGGCTTGGTGCCACGTGCAGAACACCCCGCCTCCCCCTGGGTGCTACCCGCTGCCATGTCTGGTTTGCCACGGCCCATTAACCCAGGCAGCCAGCAACCAGTCCCCAGCTGCCCTCCACCATGGGCATTTCTTCAGCTCTGGAAGGCTGCGGGGACCTGTGCCAATGCTCACATACACTGGCTTGAAACATGGGGACCCTCACTCTTTTTTTCCCGTCTTTCAAATTCTATTTCCCCTCCTCCCTCTGCTCAGTTTCTTTCTTGTTCTCAGTGTCCTGCTCTCCCTTTCCTCATGCTCCTCCAAGCACTCTGCTTCACCCTGCAGAATTTCCCTCTCCCCTCCCTCTGTCTCCCCTCTCATTGTTCTCCCCCTTCTGCCCTGCAGTCTCCTCCAAGGAAGTCCACCTCCGCCGCTCCTACAACAACATCCCCAGGGCCAGGATGCGCACCCTGAAGATGTCCATTGTCATCGTGCTGACCTTCGTCCTGTGCTGGACCCCCTACTACCTCCTGGGCCTCTGGTACTGGTTCTCCCCGGAGATGCTGAGCCGGAAGAAGGTGCCTCCATCCCTCAGCCACATCCTCTTCCTCTTCGGCCTCTTCAACGCGTGCCTAGACCCCCTCATCTACGGCCTCTTCACCATGCACTTCCACAGGGAGATCCGGTGCGTCTGCCGCTGCACCCACCGCAGGAAGGAGCAGGCCTCCGCGCTGATTAGCTCCTTCCGGGCCTCCACCACGGCTGCACCCATCAGGAGTGCCGGGGAGGACCAGGGGGGCACGGGCAAGTACGAACTGGAGGTGACGGCTAACATGGCCCTGCCTGCTGGGAGGTGCGAATTGTGCAGGAAGAAGATAGTGGAGAGTTTCATATGAGTGGACCTTTGCCACGCCTGGACTCACCTCCGCTTCCCAGCAAGGGGGAGAGCCCGATGGGAACCCCATAATGTGTCCAGTGGGGGCTACTGGGCAGTTGTTCCTTCACTCAAGCACCCACCAATAAATCCAAATTATTTTCTCAGCCAGTGGCTTCTCCTTGATCTCCTCCCTTTGTGCCCATCCGTCTCTCACTACCCAGAGCTGCGCCAGGCTGCACACTCCCTAGCTGGCATGGGCGGAGGTGGACGCAGAGAGCAGGCTGCCATGGGCCTCAGCTGTTTGGAAAGGTCGCCACTAAAAGTCTGCTAGCAGTATGGCCTAGTGGACAGAGCCCTAACTCAGGAGAGCCAGGGTTTATTCCCAGCTAGGCTGCTGGGTGACCTTGAGCAAGTCACTTTGCCCTCTCTGTGCCTCAGTTTCTCCATCTGTGAAATGGGGAGAAGGATCCTGACCTCCTTTGGAAAGTACTTTCAGATCTACTGAAGACAAGAGCTAGGGAGTATTGTTATTTTCCAGATCCACCTCCCCACTCAAACACGCACGAAGGAACCTGGGCTCCTGTTCTCCAGAGGGGATCCCCAAGTTTGCACTTCCATGATACTGTCCCCCACCAAATACATCAGTTGGTCCCTGAGTGCAGAAAGCCTCTGCTCCCCCAACAGAAACAGGGAAGGTGGGTTTGGGTCTTGATACTTTTCCAAGGGGTTCCCCCACCCAATAACTCCCGTCAGTCAGTGTGAACTAGTGGTCAGGAGGACGACAAGACTCCTGGGTTCTAGACACCCTTAGTGACAGAGATGGATGTCTACACTGCAATTTTATAGCCCCGCGAGCCCAAGTCAGCTGACCCGCGCAAGCTGTGGCATGCATCTTTCACTGTAGTGTAGACGTACCCTGGCTGTGCGGCCTCGGTCTTTTCCCATCCTTAAGTCTAATGCAGCAGGAAACTGATGGGCGCTCATGGTAGAAAAGAAACTGTTTGCCCCAGGCAGAGCAACCCAGCAACTGACAGGCAGGATAGTCTAGTGGTTAAGGCACAAGTCTAGGATTCATATCCTTGTTCTGCCACAGACTTCCTGTGTGTGCTTGTGCAGCTCACTTAGCCCTTCTGTACATAGGAACTAATAGTCCTAGCCTACCTCCCAGGAGGGTTGTGAAAAGACACATATTGAAGGTTTTTAGATGTTATAGTGATAGAAGCCAGATAAGGACCTTAGATAGAACCTATAAGTCTCCATGTCCTAGAGGTTGGGCTTTTCTTTTTTGGGGTTTCTTAATTTCATTTTTGGAGGGTTATTTTTTTTTAGCAATTTTTGAGCTCTACGTAGATTTTTCAGGGTTCTCGCTCTGTAGGTATATAAAGTACTGTTTCAAAGAGCATTAAATTAAAGCAAATCAGACCCTTTAGTGCACACCAGCAAGATCGCCACCAATTAATTCGTAACACATTAGTGTGCCTTGGAAATCACTGTAGTCCACACTACGGCTCTGTTAGACAAGTCCTTGATACAAGCCAGGGAGCAGGGATGTTACCTGTACAAACTGCATTGGACAAGGGGTGCAGACAATACTGAAAACCATTTCCAGTGTTTACCAGATAAACATCAATTTTGATTGTATTGGGGGTGCTTATTGGTTAAAATCTAAAACCATATGCTCTACCCATAGGCTGGACCAAAGACTAAGCTCTGCTTGAGAACGAAACCCAGGCCACTGGAATACACAGTCTCCCTTACAGATACAGGCAGATGTCAAGGGAAGAGGACTTTAAAAAAAAAAAAGCAGACTTTTATTCAGTATTTATGGGCAACATTTCTCCTTCCAAATGAGAGTCCCCTACAGCACCACTGGATGAGTTCTCTCATTTGAGGTGTCGGAGGTCAAAAGAAGATTCAGAGTCTTATGCTAGCTTAAACACAAATCAAGAACTTTACAGATACTGTTAAAAATATGACGAAAAACTCAGGTAAAAATACAGCACAATTAAAAACCCAGAAAGAGATTGAGGCAGGAGTCTGCACATCCAGCTTACGAGAGACTTCCTGCTTCCAGAGCTGTGCAGGGAGAATTTACACCTAGGAACCATCAAAAGGAAATGGAGAAATGTGAGATCAGCGTCGTCTCCTGTCCGGACTCCTGCTCCGCCTACGCCCGCCCCTGGAAGACAGACAGGGACAGAGTTATATATATGCTAGCCTGAGCTAACATCTCGAAAGATTTGAAAGCTATCGACGACTTCTATGCACAAGGACCACGTTCCTTGCCAAAGAAATGCAGCGCAACAGGAAAATATTCTCTTAAAACTCATGAACAGATCTCAGTGCGCTTCACTAACGCTAGGTATGTCGGGTCCCTGTTTTACAGAATCTGAGGCACAGAGCCATTAAACAACTTGCCCAAAGTTACATGCGTCAATGACTGGGTCCCGACTAGTAAGATCTCTTGACTGCTAACCTCCTGCTCAGACCATTAAATAACTGAAGAACACAATCCAACAGCATTCCCAACTGGCAAGAATTATTCATGATCCACTAGAAATTTAGCCCAGGGTTAACATTCCTGCTCTTGAACTTCTCATGATCTCAAGAGGTCAGGCCTTCAGTTTCACCCCCTCAGCAGAAACATCAGCATCCTAAACCACAAAAGAGCTCTAAAGCATCGTTTTACTACAGGGTGTTTTCCAGAGAGCTGTTCCTGAAAGCAGGCAGCACAGACTTGGTGACATTTTCTGCCCTGCTTCAGGCAGTTCCTTTGTCTGTAGGACAAAGACCATTTTCCTCTGGGAGTTCCCAGCATCTCTGGATGAAAAGCACAGAGGCTAAGGTGAAAGCCCCTAGAACATGCACATGGACTGAATGCAGGAACTCAAGAGTTTTACGCAGCAGCTCCAGGTAAAAGAGGGAGAGAGTCACTCCATGGGAAAGAATTTCCAGTTGGTCTAACTTAAAATCCTGTTCATTATTCAGTGGCTTCAGGGCTCTCAATCCATCACGTTCCACCAACACTAGAAAGTAAGTGTTCTCCACACTGCTGTGGAGGGTCTCCCTTTGTGAGAGAGCATGAGGCTAGCTCAGACTCCATGACTCACTCAATCCTCAAGATCTCTGATGAGATGCCAAGCTGAGGACCAACCTGGTGTCAGCTGGGATGCAGCCCTCAACACTGGAGGCATCTTACCTTCTCTTTCCTTTTGGAGGCCCCCTGACAAAGCACCAGTCCACGCTGATCGGCTGCCCCATCAGATCCTGTCCGTTAAGACCTTCCATCGCTGCCTGGGCTTCTTTGTACGTTTCGTATTCTACTAGTGTGTATCCCTGTGGGGTGCAAGGAGACAATCCTCAGCCAGTGAGTGGCCCAGTGGGGGAGTTTAGCGAACACGCCAGAGACTGGGCCAGCCTTGAGAGCAGATCACAGAAACCACTGAGAGCCGCCAGGACACTCGGCTCCACTGTTGGCATCAAGAATGCTGCCAACAATGGCAGGAGAAATACTGACTTGGCAGTAAGTGGAGTAAATAGAGTGCGCCCTACCATAAATAGAGATTTTCAATTAAACACACACACACACACAAGCTGCCTGAACTCGTGCCTTGAACTGTTAGTTTTAACAGGATTTAATAGAGAAGGGGGCATTAACTATTACACTGATATGTTCCCTGCCCCTTCGCCTCCCCGGCGAGCTCAAAGCACATTAGTTAAGACTAAGCAGATTCATTTGCCTCACAGGCCTTTGTTAGCAGTATTCTCAATTTAGAGACAGAGGCCCAGAGAGCTGAAGTGACCTACCCCAGATCACACAGCAATTCAGTGTCCAGGCTGGATTCAAGAATCCCATCTCCAGTCCCTTCCTGCTCTAACCAATAGATTACACTGCCCCCCTCAAAGCTGGGAACACAACCCCAGAGCTCCTGGCTCCCAGCCCTGTGCTCAGTTTCTTTTCCTCTCCCAACTGCATGGGGGCAATTTCATTGGCATAACTCTCTAGCTTACCTGGTCCCCATTACCACAGTATCTGAGCACCATGCAATCTGTAAGGTATTTATCCTCACACTTCCCTCCCCCGACCCCGAAGGAAGGGCAGTGTTGCTATCCCCATTATGCAGATGAAGCACAAAGACACTAAGGCTCACATCCTCAAAGGTGTTCTGGTACCTTCCACCTATTGAAACCAATGGGAGTTAAGAGCCTACATACTTTTGTGGATCTGAGCCAAGGTCACATACCAAGTCTGCAGCAGAGCAGGAAATTGAGCCAAAGGGGAATGCCCTAACCACTAGACCATCCACCCCGTCCTACCTTCAGGTAGCCCGTTCGTCTGTCTAGATTCAAGTGGATGTTCTTTATCTCGCCATACTCTGCAAACTTGTCATGAATATCCTCTTCAGTGGCCTCCTCATGAACTCCGGTGACAAAGAGAATCCAGCCCTCCACCGCTGTAGCCACGGCATGCAAGGAAAAACAACGCTCGTTACACAGAAGGCAAGACGCGCTCCTCTGCTTGGTACGCAAACCCCACTGCCCACACACAACGCCTGCATCTACACACGCAGGATGGAAAGGGATCCTCCCACTGCTTAGCTTGGAACCCATTGGCAGCAGGGGGCTAAGTGAAAACGGATGCGGAATGGATGGAGGACTGAATCTAGCACTGGTAAAAAGGCAGCTTGACAGCCCTGGAGACAAAAAGGAGCTCTGTTATCCACACAATGTGGATGGTCTGGGCACAGTGTACATGTCATTATAATGATAATCCCTAGCTCGTATATGTTGCTTTTCATCGGTCGATCTCAAAAAATTTTTACGGATGAGGAAACTGAAATGCAAAGAGTTGAAGTGACTTACCCAAGGTCATCTCACAGACCAGTGGCAGAGCTGGGAAATAGAACCTAGGGCTCCTGAATCCCAGTCCAGTGCTCTATCCACTACACCTCATGATTTCTCAGAATAGAATTGGTTTCCCCCCCATCTTTAAAGCAACCCCACGCGGCCAAGGCTGGGTGTCCACACATGCTAAACCAAACATCTCTAGCAGATACTCACATCTCTGAGGCCCAGGTTCATCCCCATCTTGTTCCACGCTGTCATAGTCCTCACGTACTCTGGCCCTCGAACCTTCCTCTGGGCACATGATGGGGGAAGACAAAGATTGTTTGAGATGACTTGAAACATTATGCTAGTGCTTAGGGACCAGCCAAGAATGCAGCCCCATTGTGCTAAGCACTGTACACACAGTGGCAGACCATTCCTGTCCTGAAGGGTTTCCGGTCTAAATACTCTTAAACATGTATTCTAGCTGTTCTAAGCACTCCTGGGCACACACATATGTCCCTGCATTTAAGCTTTACAGCACATAAAATACTGTAGAGAGACACAAGCCTAGTAGTTAAAACAGTGATAAGCATCAGATTCCTGGTGACCTTGGTCAAGTTGTGTCACCCATGTATATAAGCTGGAGGGGTCTATTTTACAGACTGGGGAAACTGAGGCAAAGGGAGGTGAAGTGACTTGCCAAAGGACAGAGCAAGTCAGTGACAGAATCCCGGATGGAACCCCGGAGTCCCGATTCCCATCCTAAAACACACTCCTGCGGCGTAAGCCATTGGGCAGTTTCTGTTTAGAAGCAGCCAGATGACTCCAGTAAGTAGCCAGACCATTCCAGTTAGCTACATGGCACAGGAGACCCCTCGTGATTCACATACAGGGTAACTCCATCATTCACGACAAGATTATCACCTGAACCAAATCCTCGGCCTTTCCTCTTCTTTGCTTTCTCCTTCAGTTTGTGGATGCTTTCTGCAGAGAAGTTCAATGTGTTAATTTCAACTGGAGGGAAGTCTGAAGCAGGCCATTTGGGGTAGAAGGGAAGGGGGGGCAACGTTATCGGATCAGAACGAGGCTCAACCTAGATGGTGCAGGCCTCAGAACAACCCCAGGGCAGGGAGGAACTCAGGGTCAAAGCCGGGCAAGCCGGGCACAGGGGGAGGCTGGGTCAGAACCTGTCGGGGGCGGGGACTGGACTCAGGGGGGCGGGACCGGGCGAGCCGGGCACAAGGGGAGGCCGGGTCAGAACCTGTCGGGGGCGGGGACCGGACTCGGGGGCGGAGCCAGGCGAGCCGGGCACAGGGGGAGCCCGGGTCAGAACCTGTCGGGGGTGGGGACCGGACTCAGGGGGCGGGACCGGGCGAGCTGGGCACTGGGGGAGGCCGGGTCAGAACCTGTCGGGGGCGGGGACCGGACTCAGGGGGCGGGACCGGCGCGGCACAGGGGAGGCCGGGTCAGAACCTGGCGGGGGCGGGGACTGGACTCAGGGGGCGGGGACTGGACTCAGGGGGCGGGACCGGGCGAGCCGGGCACAGGGGGAGGCCGGGTCAGAACCTGTCGGGGGCGGGGACTGGACTCAGGGGGCGGGGACCGGACTCAGGGGGCGGGACCGGGCGAGCCGGGCACAGGGGGAGGCCGGGTCAGAACCTGGCGGGGGCGGGGACCGGACTCAGGGGGCGGGACCGGGCAAGCCGGGCACAGGGGGAGCCGGGTCAGAACCTGTCGGGGGCGGGGACCGGACTCAGGGGGCGGGACCGGGCGAGCCGGGCACAGGGGGAGGCCGGGTCAGAACCTGGCGGGGGCGGGGACCGGACTCAGGGGGCGGGACCGGGCGAGCCGGGCACAGGGGGAGCCGGGTCAGAACCTGTCGGGGGCGGGGACCGGACTCAGGGGGCGGGACCGGGCGAGCCGGGCACAGGGGGAGGCCGGGTCAGAACCTGGCGGGGGCGGGGACCGGACTCAGGGGGCGGGACCGGGCGAGCCGGGCACAGAGGGAGGCCGGGTCAGAACCGCACTAAGCCCGGTTCGGGGGGGGGGGGGTCAGAGCCGGGGGGGGGCAGCAATTCTGGGCTCCGACCCCATCTGGCTGCGGGGAAGACGGGCCAGAACCAGCCCGGTCCGGGGCTCCGGAACCGGACAAGGCCCAGCGGGGAGGAGGGGGCCGTAGGGCGGGGCTCGCCTCGGGCCCCACTTACCGTCCCCATCCTCGTCCATAGCGAAGTCCTCGCCCCCCGCCTCGTGAAGATCCAGCACGTCCGCCATCTTGCCGCTGTGCGCCTGGCTGCGCCGCGGCTGCTGCTGAGGAGGGGACGGGCAGCTTGCCGGGTCGGGACCGCGCTGCACGCCGGGAAGCGGGGCGGAAGTACCTCTCCAATCCTCTGTGAATAGCGCGGGCGCCGCCATCTTGGGAAGGGCAAGCGTTTTTCCTCGCTGGCGGCCACCATCTTGACAGAGTCACGTGCCCTCGCCCCAGTGCGCTGATGGCCGCCATCTTGAGAAGGTCAATATTGCCTAGTACTTCTGCGGTCGCCCTCTTGGGGAGGGCAGGCGGCAGGTTCCTCCCACCTCCAGTTGCAGCCAGCTGCTTTCTCAGAGCAACCAGCCAATTCCCTCCTCCTCAGCTGGGCCTTGGGATTCTCCTCCCTGCCCCATGAGACTATGTCCTTCCTTCTCCCCCACTCCACTCCTCCCACCGACCCCCACTGGGGTTACCACCTTTGAAATGTTAACTCCCTCGCCCCCCCTCCACCCCGGCAAGCCCGCCACACCCCCTCGCACGCGCCCCCCAACATCACTTATAGTAGCTAGCAAGATAACACATTTTGCTAAGATTGATAGCATCCCCCTCTCCTCACACACGCGTGACTCTCTCACACGTGTGTGCGGGGACGGGCAGACAGCTGCTGTATTTTCACCAGTTGTGATCGGCTGTCGCTTAGCTGGGGAAGTGGGAAAAGGGCCGTGTCTTTAGCTGGACACCCCACCTTTTAACAGTGGATAATTATCCCTCTGTATTGTGATAATGCAAATCTTTAGACGCACTTAAAGAAACGGGCAGATTAAATTTTTTTTCTGGCAACTGACAACTCCATAAAAAAACCCAGCCAGGCTGGTCAAATACCAGCCAGGTGGTAACCCTACCCCCCGTGCTGCGTCCTGCACCCCATCCCCCCTTCGGGGGCTCGGGATCCCCCCCTCACTCCTGAGGCTGGGCCCTAGGTTTCCACACACACTTCTGGCCCTGGGACTTGGGTCACTCTTCCCACCCTCCTGGCTTGACATTGATACTCCCTCCCCAGTGGGGTAGCACCTGGGGGGGGGATAGTGGTGGGAGACACTAACTTCCTATCCCCACATTATTTATATTCCCCAACCATCTGCATCACATAAAGCACATAGCTCCAGCCTGCTTGGCGGATCTCCAGGCACTTTTCCAGTGTTGCCATCCTCACCTGATTACAAAGCAGTAGCTAGGCCCCCAACAAATCATGAAACTGCCTTAAAAACTAATTGCTAAGATGCTGCACTAATTCAATCTGCCTTACACATCAGGAGAGGGGTTTTTTAAAATTATAAATGTGGGCATTCTTTTTATTTGCCTTTTTGAGCCGGGGGGAGCAGGGGAGGTCACATTTTCAAGTTTCCTTCTGTAGCCATGTGTGCTAGAAACTTACTTTTTAGAGTGTGATTTTTTTTGTTTGTTTTTAAATGAAAGCGGAGATTGTCCCCTGGTCACATGACTCCAGGAGGTGGGACTTTGAGAAAAAGCATCAACTTAAAACAAAAATTGCAATAAAATCATTGGTGGGGCAAGGGGCACCCGACACTAAATTCACATCCCCTCCCTCCACCAAATAAATACAAACAGAGGGAGAATCCCTAAAATAGCAGCTCAGATACAGAGGTCTCCCCACCATCCACAGATCAAGGACAGTCAAGGCAACATCAGGACAAGCTTCCCCAATGCACTACTTCACCATAACATGCATCCCCCGTTCCCTGGAGCAGTGACTCTCAGCCTTTCCAGACGACTGTACCCCTTTCAGGAGTCTGATTTGTCTTGCACACTCCCAAGTTTCACCTTACTTAAAAATGACTTGCTTACAAAATCAGACATAAAAACACAAAAGTGTCACAGCTCACTAGTACTGAAAAATTGCCGACTTCCTCAATTTTTTACCACTTAATTATAAAATAAATCAATCGGAATACAAATACCGGACCCTCGCTAGAATGAGGGATTTGGGATCCATGCGTGGTACCGTGTTAAAATGAACTGCCATTAATTAAATTTGGGATCCATGGCTGCGACCACGTTATATGCAAATTCATGCTATATAGACACGCATTCTAGCGAGGGTGCGTTGTATTGTACTTACATTTCAGTGTGTAGTATATACAGCTGTATAAACAAGTCATCGTCTGCATGAAATTTTAGTTTGTACTGACTTTGCCGATGCTTTTTATGTAGATGAGTTGATGTATGCCCTACAAGACCTCTACGTACCCCTGGCTGAGAACCACTGGCCTGGAGGATCCCTCTCTGATCAAGTCCAATCTCCCCCAGCCATTCACTGCATGGGCAGAGGTAACAACTAAGTGCTAATTGCAGTAGAGTTTTGCTGATAGGGACACCATTTTCGGGGGAAACTAGGATGAGACCCCCCCCAACTGATTCCACAGAAGCCAGCAAACAGCCATCCAATGACATCACTACTGCCATTCACTAAATTCAAACCAGCCATTTACAGGTGAAGCAAACTTCACCCACTATTGTACATTAGCCCAGTTTCATGTCTCAACTCTTGTCTGAAACGGCCACGTATGGAGATCTCCTCTGATCCCTAACACAGGGGACTGCCAAGTTGCAATCGTTTCTCAAACAGCTCACAAAGGCCAAGTGGTTTTGGACAGCTTCTGCTCGACGTGCAGCAGATGCTGTGTCTGCCAGTGGGATGAGCCTTGTCCCCTTTTTCCAGATTAAAAACAAAGCCTCATTAGGGAATCAAACGCTGCCACTTCACCTATTTTAAAGAGTGGAGGTTTACCATATGTCTCACTTGGAGCGGCTTGTCACCTGCCTTTTCAGCAGGCAGGCACGTTGTGACAGATTTAATAATTTTATTAAGATAATGTTGAAGTGAAAAGAAAACAGTACAGAGTTTAGGCATAGAAGTTTCTGGTTATCAGGGAATAAGGTACTTTACCTCCTTCCCACCCCCAAGTAAGTGCAGCATAAAACTGCTTTGTTCAAGTTTTTCTAAATAAGTTATCCCCAAAGGCCGTGGACTTGAAATGATGCAGCCACAGCACGAAGCAACAAGCAGAAAGTAACAGCCGATGAGACTGGGAGAGAGAACACATACTTGGAAACTAAACCAAGGTAATGTTTCCAGCATCTGGTATAGATACTCCCAGCCCACGCTATAGTCGCTAACTGTCTACGAAGCTCCTCTGAAGGCTAGGCCCTGCAGCTACCCTCATGAATGGAATATGCTACCCCCATATGCAGTCACAGATAAAGAAGAAACCCATTTCTCCTTATTCAATTTAGGCCAAGGAGTTGCTTTCTTTTAAGCTTCCTCCCTCAGCCAAAGCTTCTTGCCTGCTCTCCCTTTACACTGCATGTGGCAGGAGACAGGGCATTGCATGAGCAGTTAGGAGATCTGAATTCTCTTAGATCCATCCCTTAACGCCTCCATGCCTCAGTTTCCCCATCTGTAAAGCTTGCGCTAATACCTGCCTAGCCCACAATGCAGGTGGTTAGTGTTTTTAAAGCACTTGGAAGATACTCAGAGTAGGAACAAGCATGACAGCCCTTACCAAGAATTATTTCTAATTCATGGAGAATGGTCAGAGCAATAGAAATACAAAAGTTAAGTTACCCTTTGCAAAATTTGGTTTTATGTACCCACTGATTAGGGTAGCTGATCCTGTTCTGGTCCATTTAAACAGAATATAGTACTGTGCAGAAAGTCCTTGTGAAGCAGGGTGAGGGGAAAGAAGAGAGGAAGTGGTCTGGAGATAGCTAGCTAACTCGCCACTCCCCAATTCTAACTGAACAATGCCAGTGAGGGCAATGCAAAGCAAACATTCTCTTTTCAGAAAGATTTACACCAAGGCTGGTTTAGCAACACCAAGAGCAGGCCTTCATCCTTCAATGCAAGCCCTACTGACTGTGTCCAAGCTGAGTGCTAGAACCAGAAGACAGCTGCTTTTGATTTACAAGTGACTGGGATATGAGGCAGTAAGACTTAGGTCTGGTCTACATCTGAAAGCATAGGTGTACATTGCTTAGGGGGTTAAGCATAGTTAAGCCATCCTAAACCCTGGTGTAGACAAGATAGGGTGACAGCAGAATTCTTCTGGCAGCCTACCTACAGTGAGTGCCTTGAGGGGGTGGATTTACTGCAGCCATCCGACTCCCCATTGTGGAAAGGCCCTTCTGTAAAGAAGGTGCGACATGGCAGCTGCGGGATCTGGCCTGCGCCTGCCAGCTAGCAATGTAATGGCAAGGCAGAGCCTGTGTGACATTAACAGGGCTCAGAGGCTCTGCACCAGGAAAGATGGGTCAGAAGAAATGCTGTTTGAATTGATACAATCAGACACCCTGCAGATACTCCAGCCAGCAGGGACTCATTAGCAAGCAGCCAAGGGGGACAAGGGAGTTATTCCAAGAGGCTTCAGATGCCCTGAGCACCCAGCAGGGAGCATAAACAGCAGCAGGAAAGGTGCTCAGGGCGGCTGGAGGTAGCACAGGGCTGACAGGTGTTCTCTCCATCACTGTCCCCCTTTAGCTGCAGGGAAGCCATTCCTTCTGCAACATTTAGTGTTTTAAACGAAAGCCCAGCAGTTCAGGTGCTTCTGCTGACAATTGTTCCAGCTCAAGCCAGCCTGGCTTAGACCCCAGAGTAACAGCCCGTAAACCAGGCAGAAGGAAGACTGGAATATTTAGTCTTTCCTACCCCCATGGCTAGTCTGTCTTTAGTTGGTTACTAAAGTGGAGCAGGGGAAATGCCGGTTAAGAAGCCAGCAGTCCGCAGATCTTTGTACACTTTGGGGTGGAAATGGCAGACACTCAAGCTATCTTTCATACGCATGCACTGCAGCTGCAAATGGTGCATCTGATGGGGGGGCAGGGGGGGAGGGAAATCTAGACCAAATTCTCACTGAAGAGAATGTCAATCCA